CTTCCACTTAACTTTTAGAGAGATGTGACTATTGTTCTTTACATCTCCATCAACTACCCTTTCATTTGATACCAGATTCCTCAAAATCCAGGGTTATAATATTTTTAGTGATTTTCATGAAAAAACTAAGGCTATAGCCTTGACGAAAATTAGAAGGAAAAAAGTTTTATTTTATGATTGCTATGAAAATTGGTAATTTAAGGTTCTTCAGGGTGCTGAATAAGAATCTCAACTCTGTTTCTCCTTAAAAAAATGGTTGCGGTATCTGCAAATAAAAATGTTTCTATTTCCTTTATTACTTCTTCCACTTAACTTTTAGAGAGATGTGACTATTGTTCTTTACATCTCCATCAACTACCCTCTCATTTGATACCAGATTCCTCAAAATCCAGGGTTATAATATTTTTAGTGATTTTCATGAAAAAACTAAGGCTATAGCCTTGGTGAAAATTAGAAGGAAAAAAGTTTTATTTTATGATTGCTATGAAAATTGGTAATTTAAGGTTCTTCAGGGTGCTGAATAAGAATCTCAACTCTGTTTCTCCTTAAAAAAATGGTTGTGGTATCTGCAAATAAAAATGTTTCTATTTCCTTTATTACTTCTTCCACTTAACTTTTAGAGAGATGTGACTATTGTTCTTTACATCTCCATCAACTACCCTCTCATTTGATACCTATATCTGATATTAGAAATTTACTTTTGGGAGGATGTGAATAGTCACTTTAATGAAGTGATGAAAAAGAATAATCTTTTTGATGTCTCCTCAAATGCCCTTTTTGTTGTTTCTTATAAAATTGGTTTAAATATAATTAGGTTTTAAAATATAATTTAAAAATTTGAGCTATATAACTAATAAAGACAAATAATTATTTAAATACAGAAGATTATACATGTCTTCTATGATTTTTTAAAAATTTACCCATTTTGAAAGTACGATTTCGGCTGGGTTTAGAAAAATATATTTTGTTCTAAAATTTTAAGCTGTTTAAGATTGAATATAAACATTTTTTAATATATGTCACTTTTAAAAGGAGATATTTAGAGTAAACACAAAAAAAGTTGTAAATTTCAATGGTTTTTAGAGCACTGCACTTAAGATTTTTTATATACACTACATGCCTAACAATATAAAAAATAAATTTGAATTACTAGACCTTTTGCAAGGTATATCTCCTTTCTTGGGCTAATTTTACTGGGCTATAACACTATTTATTAGATGTGGTTTTTTTATTATACTATTCGTTTTAAAATAAAATTATAATCCTAATGAAGAGCATGCATATTTTCTTGTGTACCCAATAAAAATGAGGAAGAAATTATAATGACAACTTTTTTTTTAGATAATGCAAGTTTAACTTCAATGGAAATAATAATATAGGTATTGATGGAAAAACAAAACATATATATTTATTACAACAGATAAAATACAAATAAGAATTAGATTGTGGATTACTCGAAAGAAACAAGTTCAAATTAAAACAGCGAGGCTAAATATATAAAATGGAAGATATGTTTATACTACAAAATATAAATTGATCAAATTTATGTAACCAAAAAAAAATCATGAATTTGTTACATACATATACAAGTAATATGTATCTGTTTATACATTAGTTTATAAAGAGTGGGGATAACATTAGACAAAACAAGAATGAATAAAAGTATACTTATATTTTTAATTTTCATGTTGATACTTTCTATATTTATTTAATTCATAATTACAAAAGTAAATCTGGTAATTTACTCTAATTACTATATTGATTAGAAAAGAAAAAATAATGTGTAATGATAAAATTTATTAATTAATAAAGTCCCCTACACTTCTGACTAGAAATGACTAAATTCTCTCATAAAAACTTGAGTTTTAGAAACATCAGAGTGGGCTAATACTGTCTTGAAATCATACTTCCTTCAAATTGCCCGAACGAGAAGTGAAAACGGTGATATAGGAAATTATTTTCAATTAATTAAAGCACGGAAATACAGATGGGTTTAAGTGTCTTCAGCAATTTTTTACAGAATTTATTTTTCAAGTTAAACGTATTAAAGGAAGTAGTGCAGTAGAGTATCGGTAATTTAAGTTCCATTTTTAATACAGTTTTATTATACTTTATTTTTAAAGTTTAGTAAATATAATAAGTATGTATTAGGCATTTAATAAAAAATTGTTTTAATTTTGCTTAAGACAATTAAACATTTTCGCATTTCAGTACTTCAATTCTAGCCAAAAAAAATTAATAGAATTTTGAAAAATTTAAGAGAATTATAATTCTCTTCTGTAAATAAATATAATCCTCGTTATAATTCTTGTTTTGTTAATGTTAGGCTCCTAAACCCTTATGAAGAGATCAAACAAAAAACAGATAAAATTGTTTAAATAAATGGAAGATATGTTTATATAATACATTAACATCTATATACACATTAGTTTCATAGTAACATCAATTTAGGATATCATATAAGATATTATATAAATAAAATTTTGTTTATAATAAATCACAAATCTTATGAAATTTGTTTAGAAAATCAGATGATAAATTATTAAATATACAAAGAGGTATAAAATAAGGCGGCCAACCTAAGCAGAATTTTATGAACTAATATGTTGACTGCCAATTTAATGGAATATATTATATTATACCAAATATATCAAACAAACAACAAATTTCCTCATAGCTATCATACTAGACAATAATCTAAAATTTAAACGAGTCCGTAATATTTGGCAGTCGTGTTAAATGCTGTTTTAATCTATATGTAAACATTTCTTTATGTATTAAAAACCTTATGAACCCAATATCACATTAAATATAATGAATGAATATAATAGATGGAATTTTTTCCATTAATTGTTTATATAAATAAATATATTTATATAACAAGATTTGTACATTTATTTTATATATCAATGACCTAACATGATAATCTCATGAATAAATTTGCCATATTTTTTTAAATTTTATTGTGAATGAAAACCTCTTTTCCGATAGCACTGTGGCTTAAAAATTGGCAGATATATCTAAATAAGATTAATATTGATTTGTGCCAATTTTTAAGCCAGAGGTATCAGATGAAAATTACAAAAAGGAAAAAAAATTAATTATGACAAAAAAGTCAGTTGAGAATATGATATGAGGCCATGGACTAGTTATAAAACAAAACAAAAATTACCGTAGGCCAATTTTTCCCTCTTAATGTATATATATATATATATATATATATATATATATATATATATATATATATATATATAATGTATATATTATATATCATTAGGTAAATTATATACATATTAGAGACAAAATTTGTTTTTATTTTTTCTCAGAAGATAAGTATAAAATATCAGATGTAACACCTGATTATATTTTTTCTGGGGAAATCATTTTTTAAAATAATATTCATATATCACCAATTGAGCCAAAATATGGGAATTGGAAACAAACCAAAATTTTTGTGATTTGTGTTTTAAAAGCCATATATTTATAACTTTTGAAAAAAAATTAGAATGCTGCATTCATATCAAATAGCTGTGTAAGGAATGCTATACCAGGAGCTTTATTAGTGAAATGAAAACATTTTTAAAATAGCTTGGGAAGAAAAATTTCACAAAAATGTTGATGAGTTTCCTTATTTCATATTTTGGGTTGAATCCTAACTTGAGCTATTTACAGATAAGCGAGTGTTTAAATTTTTACATACATATATACAGAAGAAATATATATCACGTCGAAACGATCAACAACTGTACAATGAACTCTAATCTATATTACATGACATATTAATTCACCTTAATATTTTTTCTTGACAAATATGTTAGTAATTCGTAACTTTAATGTTCCAACGTACAAACTTATTTACAGTTGATACATTTTCTTTAATTATAAACAAGTTTATATATTTTAAAAACATATTTATGTCCCCAAATAATTGATACCACCACTAAATAAAAATATCCATGAAAAAGGATTAAAATATAAGTTTAGTAAAAGCACATGATGTGCCAGCCATGCAGTTATGGAATTTTATTTATCCTAATCCATTTCAACATTTAATTATCGATAAATAACTGATGGCAGAGGACAATTTTATTAAACAATCAAAATTATCAATAATATGATATTGTTTCCCACAATTAGATAACAGTATGTTTCCATCTTGCACTTCAAACTAAATCCTTTTTTTTTTAAATCTTTAATTTCACTTTTAAAATATTTATAGGCATATACCTGCAATGAATTTGTAATATAATTATATATTTAGAAATGAAATCAAACAAAATGAAAAAATGTTAATTTCAACTTAGTATTCCATGAGTTCGCCCATGAGCTACCATCTAATTGTAGGTAAGCTATAATGAGAATCATTCAACAAAAATTGCTTAAGAATAAATTCATTTTTTAAATTATTGTCAAACTAATAACTATTATAAATTTTAAAGAACAATTGGTCATTTTAAAACAGCAAACGCTAAATATTACTTTTTTAATTTTCGTTTTTGGTTCATTAAAATATAGAATGAATCTTGCCCTATCCTGGATTGCTAAGCCACTATTTTTAATTCACATTTCTTTGAATATTTAAAACTGCAAAAATGATTTATAGTATTTATAAAAAGTAATTTTTTATGACCAATCAAACAAGGCACTATTCAAAGTACAATTACTGAAATTCTTTAAACAGCAAATTTTTTCAAATATGTAAAATATATTGTTTCATTATACACATATAAATATACATACATACATGTAGTTTTTCATATCACCTAGAGATTTAAGCTCTCTATACATTATGGTCGACATTATTGTGTGATAATTATATTATTTTAACTTGGTCCATGATTTGAGATTGGTATCTTCTATTCGAAGCCACACGTTCTTTTTAAAAAAAAATAATTTAGGTGAGTCACAACTGATAAAACGAAATAAATATATGATCGGTTCAAGTCTTTTTCCTTTAAACTGCAACCTGGAATGGCAGTTTAATAGTTTAAATGCTAATATCACTGAGGGGCCATCATCGGATGTGGTCCGTTCATCACTTGAGGGGGGTACTGGCCGGCGATCGGAGAGTGCATCATCGACGCTGGAGACTGCATCTGCCCCTGACCCATCATCACGCCGACTGGTGAAGATGCCACCACCTTAAAAACAAAGTAACAATTTTTTAAGATGGATAAAAAAAAAATCTATATCGTTAGTAAAAATTACAGAGGCTTGGCTGTTACAACATATTAAATAACACGTTCCTAATATCCTAAACATTACATTACTTTAAAATACTATATTGTAGTAAGGTGAAGGTGATTACTACTGAAAATTGATTATTAATTTTTTTTTTTATTATTTATTTAGATATATAATATTCTGTCTCGTGGACAATAATTATAGTGATGAATGAATACATTTACACCATATATACAGAAAATACAAAACTAACAAAAGTAAAATAATAACTAAATAAGTAAAATAATAACTAAATAATTAGAAAAGTATTAATAAAATTGATTATTAATAAGGATTTTTTAGGATTAATCCTTTTTTTTTCCTGTTCAACAGAAAACAGAGTTCTTAACAGATTTATGCCGACCTTGAGTTGTAGATTTAAAATATAAAATCCTATAGGATCTTTTTTTGATCTATTTTGTGCTAAAAGAGATCTTTGTTTGCAATTTTTCTCTAAAATAAATCTGTTTTAACATTTCGCAAAAAAAAAAAAAAACTGGACAAACACATTTTAAGTTTCTTTAAGGGCGACAAAAACTGAGGGTTTTGCCTATAGTATACTATGTCTATATGTGTAGGTGCGTAATCAACTGCGTAAGATTTGTAATTGGTGCCCCGAGATACTCCCAAGTGTCTCACCACTACACTGAATTAAAGTGGCTCTTCCCCTCCATTCGAAGACAATATTTCCTATTTCCTATATTCCTATTTCTCCATCAAATCATCGTCCTTCTTACGCCTACCACCTTCTCCAATTCAAGTCCTCAGTCCACTCCCTTTTCACAAGATCTCAATCTTCCGACCTTTATATTCCTTCTCACAGATCTGCCTCGTTCCAAAACTCTTTTATTGCTCGCTCTGTTAATTTCTGGAATTTCCTTCCTATCAAAATTTGGCATTCTCCCTCTCTATCTACATTTAAAACCCTCCTTTCCCAATTTCTATTCCGAAAACAGTCAGACATCCCCTGCTAACCTTCTATGTAAATTTACATACTATTCAAAATGACTCAAATAATGATATAATTACATTTAATTCATCACTCAAATACTTACTACCAGATTCGTCTTCTTTTCCTTTTTTTTTCTGCAGAAAAACAGAGTTTTTTGCTAACAAGAATGTAATGTATTTTTTTTTAAAAAGTGTATACTTATATTTTACCACTGTACATAGTTTTAAGTGTCTTGGCAAGCTTTCCACTGTACATAGTTTTAAGTGTCTTGCCATGGTTTCAAGTGTTTTGTAAATAGATTTTTTTTATTTTGTACATAGTATGTTTAACTAATATTTTCTTTACTTTATTTTTACTTTTCATGTTTATTTTTACTTAGGCTAGATATAATACTTTAATTTTGTACTTTTTTGTTATTCTAAAGGGACTTCGTCCCAGTATAAAATTATTTTCTATTCTATTCTATTCTAGGTGAGAGCGGGTACATGGCTACGTAAGATATTGCAAGCTCACTGCTGTGTTTTTAGCTAAATGTAAACATTTTTAATTATTTAATAAGTGCGGTCAATCTTGTACACGTTAATTATTACTTGAATTCTTTTGCAGCTCAAATTAAAGCAATTTTTTTTCGATAAAAGAACCAATTCGAGAAATGCTGTTTGGATTTGACCAATGAGATTCTAGGAAATCATCTAGCCCGGCATAGAAGTTTCCACGCGCTACTTAGCTAGTGGTGATCTTCAGTTGAGTTAATGGTGTTAATCCAGATCTGTTTTTACAAAGTAAATAAAAGCTATTTTTAAAGTAAAATATTACCTGATTTTCAGATGGAAGTGTCAAGTTTGCCAATAGGTCCCGGACGGCTGGAAACAAGGAACACTCCGAGTGAAGATTGGTACAGTCTAGGAACCTCTTGAGGAGCATAGAGGCAGCGGTGATTGCTGAACCTGAACCAGGATCACGCTTCTCGGCCAGCTGGGTCATATTGTTGGAGATATCATACACCAGTGGTAACACCAGCGACATGGGCTCCATGTAGCCGATTCTTGTAAGCTGAAGCTGGAGGTCAACAAAACATTTTTCATAATTTAAATTAGAATAATAATAAAACTGAAGTCAGGGGAAGAAAGAGACAAGAATATTTATCAAACTTCATAGCCCTGCAAATCTATTATACAATAAGAAAAAAAAAATTCTAAAAGCTCTCATATGTGTATCATAATTAAAAACAAACAAGTTTAATAATAAAGGAAGGAGATGGTCCAGGTTGGCGGTCATAAATATGCTAAATAGTAGCAAAACTATTTTTATTAAAAGCCGACATTTCGACCCGACTTTGCAGGTCTTCTTCAGGGAGGCGTGTTCAGCTAGGAGTTTCACTTAGAACTCTAAGTGAAACTTCAGTTCTAAGTGAAACTCCTAGCTGAACACGCCTCCCTGAAGAAGACCTGCAAAGTCGGGTCGAAACGTCAGCTTTTAATAAAAATAGTTTTGCTACTATTTAGCATATTTATGACTGCCGCTCGGACCATTTCCTTCTTTTATAATGCAACGGTCAACTATTAAATATTCAACAAGTTTAATAATAGTAATAACATGTTATAAAAAAACAAAACAAAAAAAAACCCTGGTGCGATGAACCATACAACTTTTGCTAACCACATAACTTTCAATAGATTAATTTTTTAAAAGTTAATTAGCCTTAAGAATATTACTTTAATTATAAATAAAAACTTAAGACAATTAAGTAATATAAATTGACATTTCAATACACTATTACTTTTGGTATATGAAGCTGAAAAAAGATTTAGTTTTGTATATAATATATTTAAGTATTCCGTATAACATAATATTTAGTTTTCTACATAAATTTCATTTAGTTTCTATGGAAAGGGATATTTCCCGTTTCGCAATATAAAAATAAATATTATTAACTATATAATTATATTATTAAATATAATAATTAAACTTAACTATAATTATTAAAAGTCATTACCTTTTTATTACTTTCTATTAACTTCTACGACCTTAAAAACTGGATATTTACTTTTCTAAAATCTTTAGCTTTCTGACAGTATATTATACATCTAAGTATACTACTACTCTTATTTCTGGCAATTTATTTATCGACAAAATTATTTATTCCAATTACTTATTCAGTTACTTATCAAATTATATATCTATAATATATATATATATATATATATATATATATATCATAGTTCATATATATCCATTTTGTATTAATGCTAATAATCAGATTTTAAATTATAATAAAAAAACTTATAAGGTACGTACTTGATAGGCAGAAATTTGGAATTTAAGCACTATTATACTATTTCAATGATGTTAATACCTACATGACGTTAAAGAAAATTTAATTTTAGTTTGAAATGTCGAGATTTAACAAAATCGTTAAGTCCCTTTTTAGAGAAAATCGTAAAAATGTATAAATTCAATAGTAAAAAATACAATTTGTATGTTTCATTAATTATAGTTTAAATTAAATAAATTAAGTTGAATGAATGAATTTTTTTATTTGGGAATCTTTGGAAGCAAAATTTTTTTTATTTATTTTAATGAAATTTACAACTGTATTACATGAAAAATACAAGTAAATGAGACATTGGTAACATGACATGTACAACATGAAGAGAAACTACCCATTGGTAGAACTCAAATTAAAGTTCTATATTAGAAGGTCCCGAGGCCATCTTCTTTTCAGACGTCTCGGAGAATTATCAGGGATCAAGGAGGAAGCGAGGCTTGAAACGAGAGGATTCGGATGGTTCTGCAGTTTGTTGTGGAAGGATAGATATCTGGATAGGCCCAAATCGGAAGCATATGGAACATTAAGGTCTTTATGGATGATTTTATTTGTGACATAGTAAGGAGTGTTGAGGATTTAGAATTGTAAGGATTGGATACGAGAGGAATTTGATGGTTTAGTGGAGCCCAATAGCTCAACTCCGTAAGTCCAAATAGGTCTTATTATAGTCATTTATATGAGTCGTTTGTAATTAATTGGAAGTTTAGAGCGTTTGTCCAGTAAGTGTTGGAGTAAGCGGAAACGTCGAGCAGTTTCTTGTCGTTTGATTGAATTTCAGTCTTGTATAAGGATTCCATGTGAAACGTTTGTCCAGCTAGAGTCGTAGGAATCGGATTTGTTCTACAGGGATAAGTGGGGTGTTATTAAAGGATACTATAGGGCAGCAAGTCATTGGTTTACGACGAAGATTTAAAATATAACTTGTAAAAACAGCAAACAAACTTACAAAGAAAAGAATCTTTTGCCGGCAGACGATGACCGCCGCCTGACCCGTGGGGACGATGGGGGCAGCAGCGGGAGGTATTCGCAGGCACCACTGGACGGACCACTTCAGCTGCTGTTGCTGGATCAAGCCGGGATACTGAAACAGTAAAATAAGTAAATACTTCAATAATTAAATCAATCAAAGTTAATTAGTAGTTAAGAATAATTTATAAATAAAAGAATATTTAACAAAATAACATACATACCACAACTTACAAAACAAATTTAAAAAGTATTCATGAACTATGACCTACCAGAAATCCAGTTTGGCATATATAACGACAAAAAATTAAGTAAATACTTGACAAACACAAAAGACAAGGTAGAGCCACTGGACAAGAAAAATGTTGTTTATAAATTAGACTGCCAACATTGCCAACAAATATATATAGGTGAAAGTTCAAAAAAACTAAAAACCAGAGTAGCACAACATACATCAAACTGCAAAAATAATAAAAATATTAACATAACAGTCCTAGCAAGCCACAGTATTAAATCACTGCACACTTTTGACTTCAAAAACCCAGAAATACTGGCAATAGAACTCAAAACAAATAATAGGAAACTGCTGCAAGCTATACATATAACAAAAAACAATAATAGAACAGTAAACTATAAAACAGATACAAAACATTTAGGTACACACTATTCGGACATTATATCCAATATTAAAATTAAAAAAAACAACAATAGCCAAAAAAAACACAACAAACAACCATAATAAGAAATAAGAGGACGGGTACAAAGTACAGAAATAAAACTAAAGATAGCCAGATGTTGATTAGTGTATCAATGAATATGTGTAACACCAAAAAATAGTTTTAAAAAATGTGACAAATATTTAATTTTTGACAAATGGTGCCACACCAAAAAAAGAAAGGTAAATAATTGTAAAATAGATAAATTAGAATGATATTGTTAAATAAAAGTTAATATAAAATGTGCATAATTTCAGTAAAGATAAAGATTGCTCTGATGATGGGAAAATTGTCCCGAAACGTAAGAGACAACAAACGTAATTAAAAAAATATGAAGAAAATTGGAAGTTTTATTGCCTTAAATATGAAAAAAAAAATAATTTATGCATATTTGCAATGTCTTAAAATATCAAAATAATATTTATATATATATATAATTGGAAGATTCCTTATCAAAGCCACTGTAAACTCAAATAACAGAAAGTAACAAACAAGAAAACATTTTGCTAAATCATGCACCATCAGGACATCTGTTAGCGATAGTTATACGCTGGTCTATTTCTGCCCGTTGATCATTCATTGAGGTTATTACGGAGCCGAAGAATTTGAATTTTTCTGCTCTCAGGAATGATTTTTCTTTTATATATATATATATATATATTGTTTTCTAAATCATTTATTACTCATCACATACAAAGTATCACAACATTCTATTTCATACATATATCAGCCTCACCTATAAATAAGAGACCTCATCAATCAATGGAGCGTAATTTTATATTAATGGTGTCAAAACATTAAGTCTGCTTTTCGGTGAAATATTGGTTCTTAGATATTGATATCTTGAACTGTCTTAGAGTGATAGGCTATCGCTATTCGATTTTTATAATGTTAATGTGAGATACGTTGTATCTTCTGTACATATATAAGGTTATACTGTTTAGACTAGTTAGTTGTGTATTACTTGAGACCAATATAGTTCGAAATTTTCCAATAATATCCTGAACAGTTAATTTTGTCCTTTTTTTTTTAATTTTCATTAAAAGATTAATGAAATTCTAGTCTATATTATATTTAATTTTAAAGCAAAATAATAAATTTATATTTTAATAGCCACTTACCAGTTCTAATTTCATGATTTGAATAAAATCCTTCAAAACATTTTGAGGAACATTCAACATTTTTCCGAATCCAGAAAGAGCAGTGTGTTTATACGGAGGAGCTGCTGCCTTCGTTTCGAAGAAAGTTTCTAATACCTACAAATAATTCATAAGGAATATATATAAATATTAATTATATTTTATCTTTAAACAAAAAAATATATAATCAAAGTATTTTAAATATTACTAATATAAAGTTAATGAAAACAATAATATATGAATTTTATTTATTACCTGGAGCTCTTCTGCTGACCAGGTATCTTTGTGTTCAGGCAAAGGGGTAATGTTGATGTGGAGGCTCTCGAGATGTTGTAAATTGAGGCCTACACGGCACTGAAGTGTCTCGACTTTGAAATGAACCACTCCGGGTTCGTTTGTAGGAATACTTGTCAACTGTAAAAAAAATAAACAGAATATTTTAACACAATGATATTCATATCAACAATGGTTTATTATTTTCCAAAGTGATAAACAAAAAGTATTTTGGAATCGTTATACAAAGCTTACTTACAAAGTATTGAACCCTAGACACTTCTTGGGTTGTAGTGGTACAGCTTTTTTGTTTTTTTTATACCAAGCTTACAAAAAGACAGTTTAATGCTTTGGTATAATGCTTACACAAATCAGTATATTTTTCTTCTATCTTAATAAATTGCTATTCTAAATAAATTAGTACCATCACATTGATGATCAAATTACAAAAAGAATCTGAGTGATCAATGGGTTCTAAGCCACTGCAGTCTACTGAGAAATAAACAAGCTGATAGGCTCAGATGGATTGCCTCGAAAATACCACTGTAGTAGACATCCCCCCATATTTACTCCTTTATGTGACGACATTGTGTGAGGGAATGTGAAGGAATATATAGGAACTAGTAGGTCCGTGCGAAAAATTCGCACAGCATATTGTTATCAAATGCCAAATTAATAACAAAATAAGAAAATGCAACTTATCAAAAGATTAAGACATCAAATGTTACTTTATCGATAAATATAATCCACAAAGCAAACAAAAATTAATTTAAATCTTCATTTTTGTTTGGAACCAACATGTATACAAATTTCAGTAAGCTGTATATTTGCTAAAAATTGTCCGATTGCGATGATTTTTTTTTCCTTTTGTAGGGAATTTAGTAATCTTTTATATAATCATGGCATAACCAAGGGAAAAGTGTGTAATTTTTCAGTTATTCGCAAATAAAGTTTATTTTCTTTCATAACTTGTTTGCCTGAATTTTCTGGGTGATTGGACTATTTTGCCAGCCTGAAGGAGAAGGAAGCATTCTAAATTGGTGGCTCAATCTTGAGATTTGGTGAAAAATTAACGATGATATGGCTTGCCGATCAAAAACACCATCGATGAATAATATAAACTCCTCCTCTCTCGATCATAGAGACCTCAAGTCGACGAAATGAGACATGTATTCAATGACAGTACTACAATTAATGTAAGGTTGTGTGGATGCGAACCCTATGCCTTGCGTTATCTCGAAAATAGTACGTTTTTCGGCTTAAAAACGCAGGATCCGATAGTTCCGAGGAACTATCCGGGTCTTGCTGTACGCATCAAAATCTTTAAGATCCAATTTGTCCCGTATCGATCTACAGACCTACCACCGTTCCAGTATCGAAGCCTAGCAAAATGTTTGTATCGACTTTATTTATTTTAGAAAGAAAAACAAAAGTGGAGAATACGATTCGCTAACCCCCGTGAAATTCTGAATCCAACGGTACCCCATTCATGGTATTTGAGCATGACAGGAGCTTATATTTGGTACAAAACCGATTTCGAGCCTTACTGTAATAATATATGTACGGATGTGAGGTTGCACTGTGAATTGTATTCAATTGTGCAGTGGACAAATTGTTCATTGAAAAGTCTCATATCGATAAACAATCGATGAAGGAGGAAAAAGGTCCGGTCAGGTAACAGCAGCTGGAGAAGGACGCCAGGGAGAGAAGAAGGCACTTGAGGCTGGGACATTAAGGCGGAACCACGTTACCTGAGAAGAGAAGCCAACTACATTGAAGACTAAGAATATCAAGCTTACAGTTATAAGACTTTAATAGATTCAATTATTACAGTTGTAAAATTAAATTGTTTTGTTAGACAGGAGTGAAAAGTCATTTATTTATTCAGTTATCCTATATGCCTCATAAATTGAAGAATAACAAACCAGGTGAGTCAATTCATTCAAAGTGTATTTACTCAGTCCCACATTTCAGATATATATATATATTCTTATTGTTTCTTCTCACTCAGTGTCACAAAAGGTATTAGATTCCCGAATTTCCAACAACAGTTAAACACCCTCAAAAATTCTATATCCAGTGCCGGGATTTTGTTTTAATATTCACGAGTGTAAATAACCTAGTCCCCCGATAAACAGAAGGAATAATTAAAATTCCCGCCAAAACTAACTATTTACAATTAACCTTTAACAAAGATGTAGAGATGGTTGACCATTGATATAATATGAGAAGGAGTTGAACGGGGGGTGCAGTCAAATTAATACTAAATTAAAAAAGTATAATTATTTAATTTTTGCCGACGTTTCGACCCACTTTGCAGGTCTTCTTCAGGGCTACAAAGATACAAAACATAGTGAAAATAAATGAATATAAGTAGATATAAAATAAGAATAAGTTGTCTAATACAGAAATAAAAAGATGATATCAGAGATATAGTCACCCGACAATGTAGTTAAAATATCAAGTATTATATGTAGAAGATACAAACAAAAATGGAAAAAAAAAAGTATGAATAAAAATAGAAAATAAAGGAGAACATAGCATGTAAGATAAAGGTAAACAGATTGCGATAAAAGATAAGGAATGAGTGTATAACAAACTAATAAAGATTACATTTGATAAATGTAGGTTAACATATAAAGAAAATGAATGTTAACGAATAAATAGATTGTAAATTGAATAAGTATTGATAAAGTAAAGCTAAAATAATAATAAGATAACATAATAATAAGATATCAGTGGATAACAAGCTAGTGGAGGTTACATTTGATAACTGTAAGTAAATAGATAACTGGACTAAAGGTTAAGAAGTAAAGAAATTGACAGATTAATAGGGTAACATTAGTGTGATATCGTTAGGATAGATTATTAAGTATAAGTAACTCTATAAGAAAACAATAATTTTAAAAGAGAACTTTAGAATATAAGTATAAATGTAAAACAAGGTTATGATGATAAAAACAAGTTGTACTGCATATAGATGAAAATTTACATTCAGTTTTTTGAAACAGGTGATGGAATGGTAGGCTGCATGAAGATAATAATAAGGTAAATAGATGAAGGATAGGTGTGTTAACAAAAGAATCATAATAAACCTTTAACAAGTTATTTACACTACAAACCAATCCTCCGCTGCCTAACGCCTATGCTAAAATAATTTAAAAATACTTTTATAAGATATAAGAAATTGGTAAAAGGAAAAACAGCAGGCAGGTGGGAGAAGTTTAAGGAAGATGGAAGAGACGATTATACAAACAAGGAACTACAACATTGCATGGCTGCCCAACTGTGTTGAGTTGCTAAATGACACAATTATATTCATCAATCAAAAGATAATACTGTATAAAGAAATAAGACAGAAATAGGTCGGGCCACTGGAATACATATCAGACAAGACAAGAGTGGTTCATAGAATAAAATAAGTGAAGGCCCAAATCAATATATCTGGTGATGGAGGATTCCTAAAATAATTGTTTCCCTCATAGCCTACATCTGCTCCCTTCCAACAACGAGCCTCTGCAAGAAATCACTTTTATTAAGAGGGATGCTTCTCCTGCTTCCGAACCGTAGCACTTTAACTAAATATTTTCTCCCACCGAATTCATCTCTGTACTTTTCCTCCTGTGCCTTGAAGTCCTGATCCTGATCGTTGGTTTTAAATCTGATCGTGGGATCCACTATGAGTATCTCCTTTTATGCCTCATTGAATGCTAAGATGTCAATGAATCTTGTGGATCCTTCTCTATTCAGACAGTAAACTTCGAGGAAACATTTATAGTTCTTTATTTCTAAGAATTCAGCTATTCGATGCTTTATGTTATTGTGCTGGCGAGTGGCTAGGAGCATGTTATGCGGACACTTGCCCAAAACATGAGATGGTGTTTCTGACTCTCAGCCATATTAGCGGTAGAGAGGTCCAACAGCCTGGCTTCCCGCCCCTGGTACTCCGTGGTGAGGAGCGTAATTAACGTTTAATTTCAAGGCATTAGTCCATTCTGAGCCGGCGAGAACTTTTCTATCATAAATAAATTTATTGGTCCACGGATTAGATTTAAAATGGGGGACACTAGTTCTTTGCACTGGCTTCATTCATCAGAGGATTTTTCTCTCAGGGACTGTCTCACCTTCCTAACTGTTAGCGATGGTTCCATGTCGCTCGCTTCGATCCCTAATAGATCAGCACTTACTTCATGCCCGAAATCAAAAATACTCTGAAGCAGGGCATCTGTTTCATTGGCCAACTTATGGGAAATGGACCAGTGTTGAAGAAGAGCTTCCCATTGACACCTCAAAAGACCCAAGTCTCTAAATATAATATATATATATATACTATATATATATATATATATATATATAAATATAATATATATATATAATATATAAATATAATGTCTATAGATTCCAAGAGCGATGCAACTTTGCTAATGGAGCCGTCTGCATTGGGTATATTAGAGAAGGGAAGGCATATCCATTGACAATATTGATCTTCTGTTCTAGCTTAAGAAGATTCAAACTTTTTTTCCAAAAAAATTATCACTTTTCCCATCAAATGTACTCAAACATTTAATTAAATAAATCCTTCCATATCATGATGAACAATTTGATAACTAAAAACAAACTGATAAAACAAAAGAACTATTTTTCTGACAAATTACATACGTAAGCTAACAAAACCTGATGTTTAACTGTTTTGAAACTTCATTTATACTCACACATTCATCATTCTGGATGAACCTCTGAAGCTGGCGCCTCATGTAAACGCAACCAAGGAACCTCTCAAGGGGAGCCAACTCAGGACCCGGCAGACCTTGCGGGTGCGCGGATGGCGTGCACAATATATCGAGAGCCTCGTGAGATATCAACGTAGGAACAGCTCCGGCCCACGATCTTTGTGGTAATACCCTCTGCACTCCTCCTGGTAACAAATGTAATGATATGAGTCTATATGTTTAAAAACAAAACTTATTATTATTATTTTTATTTTTTTTTTATAAGGAAATTCCTCTACAAATAAATATAATGGTATAATTAACAATGTCCACAGCATTAAGTATGACTAATATAATAACAGATTAGTAAACAAAATATATATATACATAACAATTAGTAAAACATTTTTTTATTTTTTTTTTAAATATTCCAGAGGTATAAGACAAATGACCATATAAATAAGCATTAATATATGTTATATGATTAACTATACCACTTAACAGTTCAATGAACAGCCCTGTATGAAATAATACAGTTGGTTTATTTTTTTCATAGTGTCTATTTTCAGTATCTTCTCCGGATTCAGTGATAAATGCCTTCAAGTACTTATTTCTTGGCTCGTTGAACTTGATACATTGGATCAGAAAATGAGTTACCGGGTCAGTTACAAGGCAGTTGCATGCACCACATACCTCACCAGATTTAATAGTCAAAGTAGCATCTTTTAAGTATATTTTCATAAAATCTTTACTTGCTACTCTGAGACGACTAACGGCTCTTAATTTGTTTAAATTCAGAGCCCTGAACTGAAGATAATCCTCTGGTCTGGTAACATTAAAGGAGCAGATTTTTCTATATCTTGGGTTTGATTTAGAGTTTAACACTCTGTCGATGTCCTTGGATGCATGATGGCTTCTTATTGTTTCCATGATTTCATCTTTGAACCTCATCAGACCTTGGGAGAAAACGCAAGAAAACAGGCCCTGACAGAAACCAAAACCAAAACAAAAAAGTTAAAATAAAGAATAAAATCTCACTTACCCGTTTTAGGATCTGTAGGGCTGTGGATTCCGTGGTGCGAGCCTTGCCTCGGAGAGGGCCTAGGAAGCCCGGGGGAGCTGGGCCAATTGGAAGCTCCGGGCGAGGCCATTCCCTGGCTTGATGGAAAAGGGCTGCCGTCGGTATGTCCTATCAAAATAATAAATTCAGGCGTATAATATTTATTTAATTTCTAATTGAACATAAAATTATACAACATATTGAAATGATTTTACCTATACTTACTGAAATTCAATTATTTAGTAACACTTTAGACTAAATTTAAACATATGTAGTTTTTATAAAACTTCTCAAGTCTCCATTGTTGTCAAATGCCACAAAAATAAAGCTGTATAAAACGCTTATTAGACCAGTAGTCACCTATGGAGCGGAAACCTGGTGTTTATCGCAAGAGGATTGCCGTAAACTAAAAGTATTCAAAAGGAAAATAATAAGGAGGATTTACGGTGCTACAAGTGTTAATGGTGAGTGGAAAATCAAAATTGACAATGAAATCGAGGCTATATTGGAGAATCAAAACATTACTAACTATATCAAGGCAAGTAGGCTTAGATGGGCAGGACATGTAGTCAGAATGGAGAATGAACGGGTGCAGAGAAAAATGTTGGAAGCACACTTGAGTGGGAAGAGGAAAAGAGGAAGACCGAGAAGCAGATTGAAGGATGAAGTGGAGAGAGATGCGAAGAAACTAGGAGTTCGCAATTGGAAGAGAGTAACACAGGACAGAGAGAAATGGAGAAAAATAACTTAGGAGACCAAGGGCCATGCTGGCCTGTAGGGCCGGGGAATTAGTTGGTTAGTTAGTTTTTATAAAATCAATTTTAATAATACAGCATTTCCAAGTCCAAGCATGACCTTTTCGAAATCAAATATAACTTTTTTCAAGTGTGAATTAATTCGTAGAAGGTTACAATAGACTTGCTATATAAAGGTTTTGTGTATAGAAAGTTAATAAAAATAGCTAGTTTACAAAAATCTAGATGGCACTCAATCGAAGAGGTAACACAATTATTGGGGATCATCTAGACTATTCCATGACTATATGAGGCTTTCAGTTGTCACAATGACATTTTTAATTATTAATTTTAGTGATATCTCTAGTGGGAAAATTTGTACCTTTATTCACAGTTCTATATTTCAACAATGCAATCACCTACCCTGAAATAAACTTACTCACTGTCTGTACAGATATTATAATTTTTCCAACTAGAAATATCACTAAAATGATTTAAATCAAAAATGTTGAAATTGGAATTAGTCATTCTGTCAACTGTAAAGCTCATATAATGGAAAAGATTTCATTAACAAAGATGAGTCTGTTGTTCATAGTTAGTTCTTGGTGAATTTATTAGTTGAGTTTAAGATGGCCAAGCATGTTAAACGGTAAACTTTAACATTCATGAGCCTAACGATGCCGGCTAGAGAGAGCCAGGCGGGTTGAGCCACTCTGGTTAAAATGGGTTTGGTTGTAACTCTAGAGCAACCCTCAGTATGCCAGAAATGTTGAGGTAAAGATATCGATAAAATAAAAACAAATAAATAAAATTTTTAAAAATAATTCATTAGTTAAGTTGGTTAGTCTATAGTTATTAATCAGTGATTTTCTGTTTATTAAGATATTATTTGTAAACAGTTTTGTCCCACATATTGTGAAGTGAAAAGGTGTACTTACATTGTAACTGTACAAAATACCAGGCCTCCGATAACATTTTTAATTTAAAATGTTGATGAAATAATTAAATTACTGTTCTTGTTATTTATAAAGATCACTTTAAAAACATAAGAATATAGTAAAATTGTATCATTACCTGTGTGTGACATAAGAGTAGCAGCAGCCGGAGAATGACCTAGCGGACCTGGACTTGAAATAGGCATAGGAGACGGAGTAGGCATCGTCGATGGAGAATTTGCTAGAAAGCCGGAACTAGGAGACGGGTGCGGGAGCATAGAAGGAGAAGGGTTGATGTTAGGAGGAAGGGACGGTGGAGAAGCCAAGTTGAACGAAGTAGCAGGCGATGAACCGAAGCTCTGATGCTGTGGACCCTGAAACAGAAAGTTTATTGTAAAGGGACTTATAGTTGAAGTCATGATGGACGATTGTTTTTTCAGGAAACATAAAACGAAATAAAATAAAAAATAAAAAAGTGAACTAATTACCTGTGATATATTTGCTGTGTGAGGACTGGCGGGAGTATGAGGGTTGCTAGGCGGAGTCAACGGCGGGTGGAACCTGAGGCCTGAGCTCTCCCTCGCTGGCGACTGCGGGCCTCGCACAACTCCCAGGAAGCCTCCTCCTTCTCCCGATTCCAAAGCGACTGGGGAGGGAGGATTGTCATCTTCAGACTGCGATCTTCGACGGTACACAACTGTTTCGTCTACGTATTTACTAAGGAAGGCCTAAAATAAATAGGAGATTAATATGATATATAAATAACAATAATAAACAAAATTAAAATGAAATATAAATATCTTATTAGGATAATCTATATGAATGATACAGAGGCCTAAATTGTTTTTGACCATAATGAGTCAACACTTTTAATGATGAAAATATTAAATAAATTAATAATAACTAGCAGGCCGGTGCGAAAAATTCGCACAGCATATTGTTATCAAATGCCAAATTGATAAGAAAAGAAAATAATGCAACGTATCAAAAGATAAAGGAATCAATTGTTACTTTATCGAGAAATATAATCGACAAAGGAAACAAAATTAATTTAAATCTTCATTTTTGTTTGGAACCAACATATTTACAAATTTCAATAACCTGTATCTTTGCGAACAATTGTCCGATTTCGATGATTTTTTTTTCCTTTTGTAGATAATTTAGTAATGTTTTATATAATCAAGGGAATAACCAAGGGAAAAGTGTGTAATTTTTTAGTTATTCGACAATAAAGTTTCTTTTCTTTCATAACTTGTTTGCCTGAATTTTTGGGGTGATTGGACTATTTTGCATGCCTGAAGGAGAAGGAAGCCTTCGAAATTAGTGGCTCAATCTTGAGATTTCTTGAAAAATTAACGATGATATGGCTTGCCAATCAAAAACACCATCGATAAATAATATAAACTCCTCTCTCGACCATAGAGACCTCAAGTCGACGAAATGAGACATGTATTCAATGACAGTACTACAATTAATGTAAGGTTGTGTGGATGCGAATCCTATGCCTTGCGACTATTATCTCGAAAATAGTACATTTTTACGGCTTAAAAACGTAGGATCCGATAGTTCCAGAGGAACTATCCGGGTCTTGCTGTACGCATCAAAATCTTCTAGATCCAATATGTCCCGTATCGATCTACAGACCTACCACCATTCAGGTATTGAAGCCTAGCAAAATGTTTGTATCGAGTTTATTTATTTTAGAAAGAAAAACAAAAGTGGAGAATACGACCCGCTAACCCCCTGTGAAATTCTGAATCCAACGGTACCCCATTCATGGTATTTGAGCATGACCGGAGCTTATATTTGGTACAAAACCGATTTCGGGCCTTACTGTAATAATATATGTGGGGATTATAATAAAACTTGGTTATTACTTACATTAATTCAGAGAAAAAGGAAATCGTAATTCTAAAAGAGATATAACATAGACAAACTAACAGAATTTAGAAGCAGAAAAGGAGGGATCATACCAGAACAGGGGAATAAAGTTCCATATGGACGTAGAAATGTTCACGAAGAATTGGTCAAAAAGCATAATAAGAGATTATATTTCAGACTCCAATAGAAGAAAATGAATGATAAAAAGAAGAAAGGATCAAGTAAAAGATATTTGAAGGAAGCAAGAAAGTACGAGCAGTAATGGTCGGAGAAAAGTCACATATAGGGATAATTAAATTATCAATAGAGCTAAACAAAAAATAAATGTATTCAATCAATAACAACACAGATATATACTATTTTTGTATTGGACTAAAATTGTTTAACATTTTTTGGAAATAATTATTTTTACTAGTGTTTAATAGACATGTTTTATTTAAATAGGGGGGGGGGAGGAAATGTCAATTTAAAAAATTCACTGGTTAAGATTATATATATATTTTTTTAAATGTACGTGAATGGCTTTATTAATTATACCCATCATATACAATATACTAGCTCTTCTAATTTGAAGAACAAAACAATAAATAAATATATTTTGAAAGATTATTCACCTTAAGGCCTGGTGTAGGGGTGAATTCATTGAGGACAGACGCTCTATCGAACCTAGAATAAGCTGCGTCTCGAATGGCCACCAATCCACCGCCTCGTAATCTGATCTCAAGGCAATAGAGGCTCAGGTATGCCACCCTGATAACTGTCGTAGATTCTGCAATTACTGTGAAAGTCTGAACTGGAATTTGAGGACGCTGAAAAATGATTAAAATTTAATCAATCAACAAGAAATTCAATTTATTAATATCTAACAATATTTTTTAAATATCAATTTATCTATGCAAGGATATTTCTTAATAATAGTATGTTAAAACTTGCTGGAGATCATAATTATAATAAATAAGCTGAAAATTGACAATAATTCAGAATTACAAATCCCGAGCATTGGGCAGGTTTTCTGCTCCATTTACTTTTTTTTAAATATTAAAAAATTGATGAGTAATGAGCTTATGAAGCATCTAATTTCCAGCTATTTGAAAACAAAATGGAGAATGGTATTAACGATTTCTGAGAACCATCCTGAGGTGATAAATCTATAAAAAAATTGGCCCAGTAATTTAGGAGAAAAACTGCATTTGGCAGACATTGGTTGTTTTTTTTTAAATTTGTTTTAGTATTAAATTTTGAGCAAGGTTTAATTTTTTTTCTTCTTCTTCATATAAAAGGTCTGTGATTATATTTTTTCGTTTTTCTTCTTTATTCAACAAATTTATAAGTACTTATGATGAAGTTTATTCACTCTGAATTTAATAAATACTTAAAAGTAGACTAGTATCAACAATCAGTAGTTTTTACTCACTTGTTTTACAATGAATCAGATGTACTTAAAAGTACTTTTAAAGAATTGAATACTTGCATGAATTTTCAATTTTTATTTGTCAATCAACAAGATTATAATAAAATTTCCAGACTTTTTTTCTCTTGTGCATATTTGCAAACATAATTAGTATTAAAGAAAAGTGGTGGAGATGAAGCAATGTGAAGAGAATGGAGACTCGGCTACCTATTGTTCTGCCAAAGCCTACCTAATATCATAACACCCTTTTAGCTTATAACCTGATTTTCAGCATAAAAACTTCCATCTAAGGAATATCCCTCTATTTTTTTCTCTTAATCTGTTGTTTTTGAATAAAAATATTTAGTTGAAAATGTTTTTTTATTAACTTCTATTAATAATTAAATAAGGCTAAGAGATGTTTGATAGCATCATGTTTGGTAGTCATATACGTCACATTCTGATGAACTAAGGCCACACTCTGTTCCAACCACAACTATATGCAATATTATTTCGAATTTTTAGCTCAATATTAACCATTTTTTATTGTTTGATAACAGCCATCTCAATTTTAAACACATTCTTTATCATTTGTAGCTCAAATTTAAATGATTATTTTTTTAAGAGAAGGATGGTCGGGGTGATCAGTCAAAATAAAAATATCAAAAATAAATAATATTATTTAATATTTTATTTTTGATATTTTTATTTTGACTGATCACCCCAACCATTCTTCTCTTCAATTATTCACTACAGCCAACAATCGACCCACAATAATGATATTTTTTCTTTCATGGAAGTACCCAATTAGTCGCATTATATCCTTAAAATTGCTGTTTTAAAAAATGTTTGGGCGTCACAATTTAAAAAAACCTGTACCACTACAACCCATGAAGGGTCTTATTCATTATTCAGTACTATTTAGGGAAACCACTGTTTCTTAGTCTATAGTTTTGCAAGGAGGTGATTTGACCAAGATCACGCTCAACCGCCAGGATTTTCCCTTAATCAATTATTTTAATTAAGGGTACCCATTTTATAGAGGCTGGGTGTGCCACAGGATGGTTCTATCTACCCAGGGCCAATGAAACAGAATAAATAATTTTTCTGCCATGAGCCGGGATTCGAATTCGGGACCTTTATCATTGCAAGCTCAGTACACTACCAATGAGCTATCTCGCTCCCCAGGGCATCAAAATACATTCGTAAATATTTCAACTGTCTATTCTGGTAGGACTCAGTATTTTAAAACTTTTCATAAAGTTTTGATTAGATATTAAGTCAAATATTTGTACAATAGATCCTAGATTATAAGAAGTGATTCGTAAATTAATAAGGTGCAATAATACTCACAGCATTATGGACTCCAAGTTGCGGTATGGCAGGCAACTTGCTGATCGATACGAGAGGAGCGTAGGTGTCGTTGAGCAACTGAATCAGCTGGACAAGATTCTTCTCCCTGTTCAGTTCCCCCTCGAGTTGTTCTCTCATTATAGTGTGAGCGCTCATACAGTTCCCTCCTCCGCCTGTTCCGAATATTATTATCAATATTATTCATTCGACTATTTCATACCATCTTGATCTATTATTATATTAACATTTATAATTACCAAAAACAAGCGTATATGCCTTATTGGATGGATTCCATTGAACTGTTACAGTTGCTGCCCTGTCTGGTCCATAACCGAGCACAAGTTTGCTGTAGCTGTACGATTTGACGGTGACTACAGATGAAATATTGTACTTAGCTATATAAAAAAAATAATGAGTTGAGCATCAAATTGTATATTTAATTAAAAAAGTTTAATCTGATTTTTTTTTTCAAACAATTTGGTACAGAAATAATTAATAATGTCTCTCAAAGTAATGGTATTTAAGGAATTATCATATTATTACAGGTATGAAATTTATTTAAATTTGGCGAAATGAAACTGTTTAAGAAGCAAAAATAATACTAAAAAAAACAACAAATATAATTTATAGTGATTCATTTACCTATTGGTCAGAATAAATTAATAAAAATTAGTCTTTGATTGAAAATATATTAATGCATGCTTATTACTGCAATAAATTTGTAAACCAAGACTAATTTTGATTAATTTATTCTGTCCAATATGCAAATGAATCACTATAATAATAATATACTAAGTCACTATAAAACCATTAAGTTTTTTAAATCAACTGAAGATAAATAAAAAAATAATAGAAACTGTCCAGATAAAATACCTACACAACCATGAAAAGTATTTAAAAAAAATAAAATGATTTAAAAAGAAACATTGTAAGTACTTACGCATTCTAAAATATTCAGCTAAATCTTCAACAAGTATGTAAAGGTGTACGATCTGAGCCCAATCGCTCAGCAGCGCATCAACTGTCTTACCAACCTGTTCGGCAGGGAGCATATCATACTGAAAATATACTGGTCTTCTCATTCCTTTACACACAAAGAAAAAAAAAAGACAAATAAATAATTATTTTAATATATTACGGATTTTTATAAATAATATTATATAAAATAATAAAGAGATTATACCTTGTTCCTTTGGATGCTGAGTAGGCAGAGGACTACCGAAAAGAACAAACTCAACAACCCAACTTTTAGATGTGCCTTTTGGACAGTGAGCGCGCACCGTGACGGAAAGGACTAATCTAGAGAGGCGAGCCGCCGCAGCTCTATCTACTCCTGACGGCGGAGGTAACTGCACAAGCTTCAAGCCTAAAGCTGTGGCATTAGCTTCCACTTGCAGCCCTTGATGTGCGATTTCCCTTCTTGAGAGCTGATAACAAAAAACAATTAAATAAATACAAACATTTAATATTGATGGATATCAAAAGATATCTTAAAATCATTAAAGTTTTTGTGATATCCGACGACTTTATCCCTAAGGTGGATTGTTTATCCTATTTGAAAATAAATAACAAAAATATCTGAAAAATTGCATAAATTTGTGACTGCGCATCTAGCAAATTTGTTGTGTTTGTATTGTCTTGGTGTATTTGCTTGATATGGTTTTTATTGGTATAGTAGGTCTCTTGGCCATTTTCTTTTAATCTGCGTTGTTCAGGTAACAGGGAGCAGGAGATAGAAAGAACCAGAGGATTGGAGTGATTTTGGGTTGAAAAATGAAATGTAGTGTATTTGTCGTGGACTTAGGATTTTACTGTTGGGGTGTTTAAGTCGTTATGTATAGTAGTATTTGAAATGTACCAAGGTGCGTTAACAATTTTTCGTAAAATTTTTTATTGTGCTGTTTGTATTTTGTTTATGTGTGTTTGTTTTGCTGAACCCTAAAGTTCTGCTCCATATGTCCATATTGGTCTCAGTAAGATGTTTTAGATCAATCGCTTGTTTCGTAAGTTAAGTGAAGATCTGTAGTCCAGAAGATGTGAAAGTTGGCTATATCGTCTAGTAAGTTCTTGTCTTTTTAATTTCGTATGTATGTTCCAAGTAAGTCTTTTGTCTAAGTAGAGTCCAAGGTACCGTACATAGTTCTTTGAAGGCACTGGATTATTGGCAATCGTTATGGGTAGACATGAGGCTTTCCTAAGAGAGAAACTAACATGGGTGGATTTTTTACAATTAATTTTGATTTTCCAGTTTTAAAGATCATGAAGATGGTTTTGTAGGGCAAATTCTTAATTAAATAATTATTGTGTATACTATTGCACTGTAAAAATGGAAGAACATATCATTCATTATCGGCATATTTGACTGTATTATTTTTAAAAAGATAAGCATACAGTGAAATCTCATAAAAAAAAAAACTTCCAGTGTTTATGGTGATGATGCCTTAACCGAATGCATTTTTCAAAATCGGTTTGCCAAATTCCATTCAGGAAATTTTGAAATCCATGGCGCTCCACAGTTTGTTCCACAAGAAATTGAAACAAGCAATGTTAAAGCCATTGTTGATCAAAATACTACCCAATCAGTGAGAGAGATTGCTACGGTGTTGAACACAAGCATAGAAAAACATTTACACAAGCTACATTTTCTTGAAGTTTGGCTACATTTTCAGGCTTAATGTTTGGGTCCCCCAATTTCTAACCAAAATCAACTTGGCAACATGCATTTCCATTTGCTATGAATTTTTGCACCACCCTTTCTATTCACCAAATCTGGTTCCAACCAACTACCACTTATTCCGGTTTCTGTAGAATTCAGTGAATCGAAAGAAATTCCAAAATGAACAGGACATAAAATAAAAAAACACTTAGATCAGTTTTTTTACATTAATTTCCAGATGTTGTATGAATGTTCCAGACCTTGATCGAATCAGTGCCTGGGCAAATGTAAATGGATTAAAGTTAAATGCTGCCAAAATCCAGGCCATTGTCATTGGTTTCAAGCCCCTTATTAGATCCCATACCGACTTTCCCATATTACACCTTAATGACCAGCCAATTTCCTTCTACTCCTCTGTTAAAAATTTAGGATTTTTCATAGATCAAACCCTCTCCTGAAACTACCTTATTTCTCACATTTCCTGTCGGACAATTTCTACCCTTAAACTATTTCATCGCTTCCGCCATCTCCTACCTCAACATACCCGTAGACTCCTAATTTCCTCTCACATCTTCCCCCACTTTGGCTACAGCTGTGTGGTGTATGATGGCCTCGCGGTGGAGCTCCGTGATAGACTGAAAAGATTAATGAATAGCTGCATAAGATTTGTTATTTGTGCCCCGAGGTACTCCCATGTCTCTCACCACTACACTGAGTTAAGGTGGCTCTTCCCCTCCTTTAGAAGACAATATTTCCTAGGTACGTTCCTCTATCAAATCATCAACAACCATCGTCCTTCTTACGCCTACAACCTTCTCCAGATTAAGTCCTCAGTCCATTCCCTTTCAACAAGATCTCAACCTTCCGACCTCTACATCCCTTCTCACAGATCTGCCTCATTTCAAAATTCCTTTATAGTTCGCGCTGTCAATTTCTGGAATTCTCTACCTATCAAAATTTGGCATTCCCCCTCCATATCCACATTCAAAGCTCTCCTATTCCAATTCCTATCACAAAAACAGTCAGATACTTGCTAAATTTTTGATATTATACATTTCTATTCATTATCAAACGATAGTACTATTCCATACTGTGAACTTCACTAGGGATATTACAATATATTCCTGCTCTTAATGGCACTGAATGCATCTATTGTTTGTTTTTTTTTTTTTATTATTTTTTATTGGTATATAATTAAATCTGTATCTATAGCTAGAATTAGACAATGATGAGTCTACAAATTATATTGTACTACATTTTATATTGTCTGCTTTGTCTTTTCTTTGTTAGCAGAAACACACCTCATTTTAAAGAAGAACTCAATGTATTTTTTATTATTTTATTTTTCAAAAGAGTATAATTATAATTTTTCCTACTGTACATAGTTTAAAGTGATTTATCATAGTTTTAAGTGTTTTGTATATAGATTTTTTTTTTTGTATATAGCTTGTTTAACTAATATTTTCTTTACTTTCTCTTTTTTTATTATTGTTTTATTTTGGCAAGATTTAGTCTTTTAATTATGTTCTATTTTGTTATTTTAAAGGGACTTTGTCCCAGAATAAAGTTATTTTCTATTTCTAAAATAAATAAAAAAATGTGGCATTATGCAATGCAGTTAATGGAAAGATGTATTTTAGATTTAAATTAATTTTATATCCATAACATAACAATTTCGTTTTGCCCTGAAAAATCAAAAGTACTTATTTTCCAATCCAATAGAATAGTACTTTTCATCTTTCTCGACTGTTCTCTGTAAGTGATAATATGAGTTATTATCAGAAAAGTTGATTACTCACCAGACATCAGATGTCATGACATTCAACTTTTTTACATGTACAAAAATGAGTTCTCACCATTTGATGACTTGTTATCTTATAATATTAATATGAAATATATTTTTAAGCAGTTACAAGGTGTCATTTATTAGCAAACTTATTAATAAATTAATTTTAAAAGTAAGAAAAAAAATTAAAAGATACTAAAAATACCACATTACTTACTTCTTGTGACAAAGTGACAAACGGAATTCTCTCATCGCAGAGGGCAACAACATGTGCTAGTTCGGGTATGAAGTATGCTGGCTTCAGGGCTTTGCTCGGAAGATCAACTTTCCAACCCAATTTTCTCTTTCCTCCTTTTTCGTGATCTAAAAGGAAAACAATTTTTCTACTTCGTCAATAATTCATACTTCAATCATTATAAATATCAGAGGAAGAAATCAATAAATCTGTTATTAATAACCAAATTACATCGAAATAAAGTGCCAAAATAGCAGATTAGTATGAATAGTAACCTGAAAACACAAAAAGTTAATTAAACAAATTTATTAACAGTTATAAATTTAAATTGATTACTATCATTGACAGGACACTATACATACTCAAAAGTTGTTAAAGAGTGCAGTATAGCGCTTAACAATCTGTCTGAGCTTAATAGAGTTGCAATTGAGTGGGTGCCTGGTCATTCTGACATTCTCAGCAACGAAGAGGACGACAATCTAACCATGTTAGGCTCAGATACTATTTCCATAACTCCTGAACCTGTTTATGAAATCAGTCATAGTACTGCCAAAAGAAGGGAAAATCAAACCACTGGACTGATAAGAAAGAAACAACATTCGAAGCTGTTCCTTAAAGGTCCATGTGATAAAAGAAGCAAACTGCTACTGAATTTGGACAGAGCAGCTCTCAAAAGTTACAGCGATCTATACTGGTCACCTTAAGTTAAACTATCACATGTTCAATCTCTGAGCGACATTGAACCCACTTTGCAGATTCTGTCAGGAAGAGAAGGAAACGGCCTTTCACATAGTTTGTAGTTGTGATATATTTGCAAGGCATAGACTAGAGCTATTTGGGAAGGATCGAGTGTATCACCCCAGCAGCTATGAGTCTATCAATCCGATAAGCCTATTAAGATATGTGGAAGGGATTAAACTAACATTTTAGGAATAAAATGGATGTTATACATGGAGCACAATAGACCCTCAAGGGTAGCAGCGCTTTATGCCAAAGTTAAAAAGAAAAAAATCATTGACAGGATTCTGCTATAAGTTAATTACGAAAAAGAATTCTTAATATGTATTAATTCACAGTTTAATACATCAAATCATACCAGACTGAAACCTCTCCATATTTCCAATTACTTCACCACTTACTAGACAAACACTCTAAACTTCCAATTAATTACAAAAGACTCATATACATGACTACAATAAGACCTATTTGGACTTACGGAGTTGAGCTATGGGGTTCCACTAAACCATCGAATTCCCCTCGTAACCATCCAAAATCTTTTGTAAAACCCTCAATGCTCTCTACTTTGTTACAAATAAAACCAGCCATAATGACATTAATATTTCAGATCTGGCCCAATCCAGATAGCTATCCTTCCATAATAAACTTCAGAATCATCCCAATCCTCTCGTTTCTAACCTTACTTCCTCTTCAATTCCTGATAACCCTCTGAAGTGTCTGAAAAGAAGATGGCCCTGTAATCTCCTAATGTAGACATATCATTAGAGTGCTACCATTGGGTAGTTTCTCAACAAGTGTTTTCACGTAATTATATCCATATGTTCAAATTTACTAAATGTATTTCTTTAATACAGCTGTAAATATTATTAAGAAATAAAAAAATACATCAAACTAACAAACATATTATGGTACTTGTCTGGTTAAAAATGTAAACTGTTTAATTACAAGAAAAATTTCAAGTTGATGGGATAGAGTTGTCCTACTAGACCTAAAGTATCGGTTACCAAAAGGAAAATAATTTCTCCTATTCCAAGTAAAGTCATTAAACTGAGTATAAAAGAAACAACAGTAGCAGTTGTAATTACCATCAACTGGAGTGAAGGGCCCATGAGTAGTTACAAAAGAATCAAATTCAATCAAAGTCAGAACTTTTAAATACATTTTAGGTATTTCAGTCTCGATGGAGTCATCATGTGGATCGTCTTCGATGGATGACTGCTTCACGACAGCCAAGTAAAATGTATAATCCATTTCTGTCGGACTGGTTTCCTTTTCTTTCATTTCAACTATCTAAAAATTAAAAAAATTAATAATAATAATAATAAAATAAATTAGAGACATTGTCTACATTATCAAAATTTAAAAAAAAATTAGAGATAATTCTTTTATAAAACGTTACTTACGAGTACGGTGTTCCTGTGTCTGTGAAGGCGTATGAACATTCTGTGCCTACCTATCTTCGAGAGAGGATGATCAGGGTAGTGGAGGAGCGGAAGGCGCTCGTGAGGTGTTGCCGGGAGATGCTGCAGAGTTTTCTCACAACGTCTCTGCGTAATCCAATACCTATGAACATTTTTAGTTTAGTGTATATAACAAAAATCTGGTGCGTGCAACACACAACTTTCACTTACCGATCTACTTTGAATAGAAATTATTTTCTGGCAATGCTGGGTTATCATAAAATTTTTTGAAGTGCATTTTAAACTGAACTAAAGCTTAAAGCTTACAGATAACAAGTCATTAAGACCATTATAATTACAAAATGTCTATTTAATATATCGATGACATGCAATAAAAATCTAGTCACTCCATCTGCTTTTATAAACCACACAACTTTCTTTGCTTTTATAAACCACAGAATGACTAACTCCAATTTCAACATTTTTGAGTGATGTCATTTTAGTGAATGAGGTTTTTGGCGGTATTGATTTTTTGGCTGTTCTACTTATCAAGAGTGACAAATATTCAGGATGCAGTCTTTTTTACAAAAAATTTAATTTTTTATTCATGCCAACGTTTCAACCCAAACATGTGGGTCATCTTCAGGGCGTGGTTTGAGCACTGAGGGTGTTCAAGTATTGAACACCTGTACTTTGGCATAAATAAAAAATTAAAATTTTTTAAAAAAATACTGCGTCCTGAATATTTATCACCCATATTCCTGTTTACATTAGTTGGTAAATTTTATATCAGCTTTTGATTAGTCCGTAAGTCATTGTTGTTTAGTTATAAATAGTTAAGATAAGGTTACTCCTTAGATTAAGTTCTATTATTATTTATAATCTGTTGTTTAGTTGGATATTTCATTGGGCTTTTTATAGTCTGTTTGTATAAATTGAATACATAAATAATAAATTGAATATTTAATAGTTGACCGTTGCATTATAAAGGAAGGAGATGGTCCAGGGTGGCGGTCATAAATAGGCTGAATAGTGGCAAAACTATTTTATTAAAAGCCAACGTTTGTCCGTTCTAGCCCTGAAGAAGACCTGCAAAGTCGGGTCGAAACGTTAGCTTTTAATAAAATAGTTTCGCCACTATTTAGCCGATTTATGACTACCATCCCGGACCATCTCCATTCTTTATAAAAAATAAATGTTTTGATTTTGATTATTTATTAATAAAACATATGTTGGGTTGATAAAGTGGATATGTGAGGTTTTCACATGGTTGTCTATTTAAACTCGTCCATATAAACGTTAGAACAAAATAGTAAAATAATGGACCAAAACCATAAAATAAACAGAGAAATTCTAACATTTGAAATTAATTAAGACAATATAAATTTAGAAGAAGAAGCACAATGATGCAGGATAAGTTTGATTTAGTTTATTTTTCTGAAGTAAAAAAAGATCTATTTAGCTAACTAAAATTTTTAAAAATAATTGATTTTACCTCAGATCAGATATCAGAGGAGTTAACCGCGTCCTGTCGGAATTCAAAGCAGCCTCGAGCTCTGTTAAAAGTGGTGGGTCGTACTTAGGAACGTGCGCTTGCAGCATTCCGGTATGGGTATCAACAGTGATCAGAAGGGATTCCGCACGCATCGACGGCTGCACGACAGTTACAGATAATACTGCAGGTGAACCAGCTACTGTACCTATAATTATGTTCAAATTATTAATATTATTGATAATAACATTTTATTTCATAATTAATTAAAACAATTCATAACTCAGTAATTAACCAATTTATAACATAGAAAAATAAATTTCAACCTGCCCAGGCTGGATTTGAACTGGTGCCCACTTAACCAATAGTTTTAAGGCATCGGATCACCTAGTCTATAAAATGCTATATACAAATTAAGTTTGAAGAAAAAGAAATATATCGTCGGTTTATTGCAAAACGTCAATAATGATCTAATATTAGTTTTTTTTAATATATGTTGCTCTCTTTAATTAATAAAAGAGAATAAAATAAATGCTTACACTCAACATCTTTGAGCATCGTCTGTAGCTCAGCTTTTAGATCATTGAGACGTTGTTTCGTCCTGAGGTGAATAGTGTGCACAAGTAACCTTTCAATCGACAGCAGCTCAGATCTAACAGCTCTATCAGCCAGCTTGCTCTCAGCGACGCCCAGGTTCGGAATATGAGTGATTGACAATGGCCTCGCTGGGTTCCGATCATCTACTCGCATTATCAAGCGGTAACCTAATTCGGATCTCGGATCTTTACTGGTCAGCTCCCTGAGAGGAAATTAAATTAAATTATTATAGAAAGTCATAATCTTATAATGCTAACAAATAATATATATATATATATATTGTAATGTACACCTTTATTGGAAGTGAGTAAAAAGGTTTTAATAAATTAATGTTAAATAGTTAAAAGGCAAGCTAATCTAGTTCTACAAGTGCAGAGAAAAGAAAATGACTGCTCTGTAGTTTCCCAAAAGGAAAATTCCAAAGAGGAGAGGGACAAAGGTTTTTGTTTTGGCAAGGAGTTGGTGTTTGGCTGGAGTGAAGAGAAGGGTTCCTGGCTCAAGTGGATAAAACCCCATAATAATATCGCCAATTTGGAAGTTGTGTTTGGCAGAACTTGGGAAAGTGTTTGAAGACAAATGAATTCAGTGCAACAAAGGAAGAAACAGTATATATAGAAAAAAGGTTAGCTTGTCAATTCATATTTGACTTTATTTTAAAATCAGTGTTTAATTTTGTTATAAATAGTGTAAATAATAATAGTTTGTTAGAGTTGATTTGATTATCAGTAACCCACACCTGAGATAAATAAATATATTAATACTCTCATAATTTTGTTTATTATTATTACACAACCTCTTATTTATTTAGGACGTATTCCAATGGTAAGAAGTGAGCTTTCGAGGTTATATTATTATTATTTGTAAAATATAAGATGGATGTTACAATAAACATCAAAATTACCTCCAATAAGAGACAGTTAATGACTTTCCAGGAATATATTCATCAACGTGTATATACCCATCCAATCTATCCATACAAAGCCTCATTGTTTGTGAATAAAGTACCTGCAACACATATCATTATGATTTCATAGCGTCCATATCCATAAAAAGGTATCTATTGTAAAAACAGAATTATTTGATAGAGTTATAAATTAGGATCCAAGAAAACAAATGAAAAAGCATGATAATAAAGATGGCAAAAAGAAAATAGAGATTTTTATATTATTATATGTAATTATTTTATACAAGAGAAGATAGTAAAAGATAGTACTCTAATTTGTACAAAAAATACTTCCTTTTATACTCTTAATAATACCACTTAAAATAATTGTGTACAGTTTGCTATTACATCATACTTATATACATTTGTATATGCTTATAATTTGTATTTAGAGATACTTATTGTTATTTAGGGCTTAAAACCCCGAGGTCATCAACGTCTTCAGAGATACTTATCCTGTACCATTGCAAGCCATGAAGGGTTTTGGATTCAGTACTTTGATGGGAAGTAATACGAGAGATACTTGTATTATAATTAATACTTTTTTTGTACTATTTATTGTTATTATCATTATACATTTTATTAATTATGACTGGATGATTTAGGCCACTTAATTATTCGTGTAATTTATTCTAAAAGGGCATTGATCACAGTAAAAAAACAAAAATAAAATTTTCTCTTCTTTTGAGCTGAAGTTTAGGCCCTAGTTTCAGACATTCATCAGGGCTGACAAAAGACAAGATAACCAAAACCAAAATTATTTAACAAATCTTTTGTAAATAGATATTAAAACATAATATATATCAATGGTTAATAACTAAATTCTAAGAAGTGAATACAAGTTATGTTGTATAAGATAAATTAAAATATATATATTGTATGTCATGAATTATTGATGAAACTTGTCGATTGTTCAACATATTATGGGTGATGGATAGTAGACACAATCAATTCCTAAGTATTTTTATTACCAACGTTTCAGCACAAGCTTGTTGGTCACTATCAGGGCATGCTACCAGATCACCCATGATATTGTATGTTATGGTAAGGTATGAACATATAAGTAAAATATTTACACTACTTATACTTTAATTTATATTACACAACATAATTTTTTGGCAAATAACATACTTTTTTTTCATGCCATTTTACCTTTTTTCTTGCTAATAAATTTTGTTTAGGTTATTATCTTGTCTTTCATTATCTTAGTCCTGATGAAGGTCTGAAATTTAGACTGAAATGCTGGCATAGAAAGGAAGAAAAGAAGTTTCTTTTTGTGTATTTCATTGTGACTGCAACCCTCAATCATATTATCTACAGCCAACTATTTATCCTCCATTAATAAATTTATTAACTATATACTTTCTACTTCTTTTCTTTACCTATCTCTTTGTCTGTGTGATTTTTATTTTTAGGTTACTTCATAAAGAAATTATTACATAACCCTTCTTCATCAAATAATAATAATGGATATCTTTCAAATCAACACATGCAATATACCAGGAGATATACAATTTTCAGGTTATTAGAAAGTCTTAAGGTTTCCATGGAAACATGCACAGAATACTACCATCTTATATCTAATTGTAAACAATCAGATATAAGCTCTTAAATTATCTTATATTACTTTTAATTCTTCTATTCTGCCTATTACATACTTTCATTTTTAACTTTCTATATGCTTCTCTCATCTTTATTGTATCTTATCTTTGGAACGCAGAAGACTTACAAAGAGGTCACAATCCACAATCATCCAAAAAGGATTCTGGAAGTTTATTGACATTATTATTAGATTGGTTATCTAATTTTACTCAGCTTGTTCAAGAGATAAGAATGACAACCAAAGATAACTGATCAATACACCAGTTTCCAACAAGTAACATTATATCTATGAGCGTGAACTGACCTATTGATAAAAACAAGACGTAACTAATAAAATACTATTCTAGTTTATAATATTTATTTGAACGCACCTCCGACCAACTTCTTCTCATATCATAATCACGGTCAACCACCTCTACACCATTATTGATAAAAACATTTTTTTTTTTTTTAAATACCTCAAGTTGCAGGGACTGGCAGAAGTAATGTAAGAACGAATACACCTCATGAAGAGGATTCGGATGATCTTGGAGCCTCGCCTGGAGCACTTGATGTATATAATGGACTTGAAGGGAATGGACAAGTGCTTTTCCATCTAGAAAAAAAAAAATAATAATTATAAAAAGTATAATTCTATAAATTCAAAAAGCAAATTGATTTCCTCCAATAACAGTACAAGTAATGGCATATGAATATACTTATTCCTTTTAATAGAAAATGTATTTTCATAAATTTTTAGAATATGATGAAATAAATCTATATATTTTGGATAAGAAGCGACAAAGAGCGGAATGTTGAAAATTAATAAAGAAAATATAACGGCAAAGAAAAATTCCCATAAAGATGGGCTAAGGGTCCGAAACATTGACGATGGAGAATAACAAATAAAAACTTATTTAAAAAATGGAAGAGGTTAGTATAAAATTCCACAAATTTACTACATAACCATTCTTCATCAAAGAACTTACAATATAGAATTGGTTCCGACGAAAGATGTAAAGCACCTAAACAGTACTAGTTGTCATAATTAATTAACAAAACCTGGTTAAATGAGATATTAAATAACTTTTTAAAGAAATACAACTCAATTTCTCAAACAACAAAGTTCAGCCGAATCGACTTAACTGAAGATAACCATGTCTGTAACCTCTTGGGTAATAAACAATTAGCATTTACCCGCTATAGCTTTTTTAATAAAGTACTTATTTATCATTAATTAAAAATAAAAAATATAGACTCAAATCTAATATAATAATTTAATTTTTATTTTTAAAAAATTTAAATATGGTCTGATTAATTTTTTTTCTGCAATAATAATAATGGATATCTTCCAAATCAACATATGCAATATATCAGGAGAATTTTCAGGTTATTAGAAAGACTTACGGTTTCCATACTAATATCTATACTAATACTGGCTCTATTTAATAAATATTTGCAAAGTATTTAGTTTTAACTAGAGAAACTAAAAACTAAGGGATAAAATATAACAAAATGGCTCAATTTATGATAAAAATTATTTACCTCCAGTCTCCTTATCTTCGACTAAAATGTCAATATCAAGAAGTCTCCAGGGTATATTTGGGCAATCGCCCATCACAGTAAGACTTACTTCGAACTCATGGTCAACATGGAAGGTAACACGTCCGGCTTCAATCTAAAAAATAAGTCATTCTATATATGTATTACTTAAATTACAAGATAAAATAAAACACTTATAAAATAATTAGGCAAAACATAAATAAATAAATTTCAAAGAGACCATCAATATGACATCGTCACTCAAATTACTTAGTTAAAATTCATTTAAAACGTAAGAATTAGATTTAAAAAGAGAAAATCATAAATAATGAAAAAAGTGTTAGTATATCAACTTATTATACATGTTTTTCTTAAAACTAAGATTAGAACCTTGTCAAACCAAGCAAGCGAGTTGTCAAAATCATTAATTCTATCAAAAGATTTATGATTCTATATTATTTTAAAATCCTGTAATTAAATTAATTTATTATACTCATTTTTAACAATAACTTATTTCAAATCTTATTTTCTTTTTCTGACAGAAATCAAAATAGTATGAACATATTTTAAATATGTTTAGAATGAGCTGGTTTATCATGAAAGCCACAGATATACTATTTAAAACATTTAACAGGCATGCTGTGGAATTAGAAATTACTTAAAATTATAATTAAATTTAAGTTGATCAATAGCAAAATTAATAATTAAAAAAAATTAAACCTTTAAATTCCTCATTTGTGGTAACAGATTGCCAGTAACCAGGCGATGTTGAATAACCTGATTCAGACGTTGAAGTGTAGTTTTTTTCTCCACAGGAGTAATAGGATCAGGAGGTACAATTTTGTCCTGAGAACAAGCATAATTTATAATTTTCATGTGCAAATCAATTTTTTTTTTTTTTTTAGAAATTTGTAAACCATAACAAGATATAGTAACACACCCTGATACAAGATGGCAATCTGGAGTATGTTCCAGTCGTCAGGACTTCAACAGCTGCAGGTATGTGAAAATTTGGAAGTCTGGCGTGGACCAAAGTTTCACGTGACATTCTGGCAAGCATGTCAGCTGTTTCGACAAACAACATGGATTGTTTGTCCAAAAATGCCATAATATGCTGAAATGGGATAATTAAACTTTTAGATCATCCAATTAACAAAATAAATAATTTCATGAACATAATTTATTAGAATCTGAATTAAAACAATGATATTGGAGTTGTCATAAGATGAGACTTACAGCTGATTTGTCCACTTTAGAGGCGGAATTAGCCCATTTAACCAGAGCAAGCAATCTAACAAATAACTGTCTTGTTCGAACTGAAAAATTGAATATTTCAACCTTTCTTTCCATATCTGTTTTTCGAGGAAGTCTGTGAAACAAAGTATAAGTGTAGATATAATGCCTGATGTTTAAAATATAATAAGTAAGTAAAACTTGTATCTTACAGTTCTGCAAGCACAGTGAGCTCATGATAGGTCCTTTGTACGATAAATTCAATCAAAACACCCAAGGATATATTGCCACCTCTGGCACTACCTTCTTGGCCTACATTGTTGCTTATAGGTGTTTGGTGACCTTCTAGTGGTACCGGAGCCATTTTTTTACCTATTCTAGAATTTATATAAAAATAAAAACACTTTGATTAATAAAACCACACCCAAAATAGTGAAATTTTCTTTATGTGATACACACTTACAATATAGAATTGGTTCCGTCGAAAGGTGTAAAGCACCTAAACAGTACTAGATATCATAATTAATTAACAAAACCTGGTTAAATGAGATATTAAATAACTTTTTAAAGAAATACAACTCAATTTCTCAAACAACAGAGTTCAGCCGAATCGACTTAACTGAAGATAACCATGTCTGTAACCTCTTGGGTAATAAACAATTAGCATTTACCCGATATAGCTTTTTTAATAAAGTACTTATTTATCATTAATTAAAAATAATTCAAAATAAAAAATATAGACTCGAATCTAATATAATAATTTTATTTTTATTTTTTAAAATTTAAATATGGTCTGTATATATTTTTTTCTGTAATGATATGAAAGATATTTTACTTTAATAAACGTATTACGTATAAATAAAAGTTAAAATAAGGAAAGATTCAAGTTCAAAAATGGCTGAGGATAGATATATAACTTTTTTAAATATTTTAATCTGTTGTTAGTTACAGTGCCGATGAGATTCGATTTGTAATCAGTCAATTAACTGATTCGAGGAAGGCGGTAGGGCGGATTTGCCCTGCTCTTGATATTACCGTCAATTACATTATTGTAAGCATTTATATTGTTGATTTTATTATATTATGATCTGTTTAATCCCAACTGTGACGAGCGTTTATTGGATTATTACTGTATTGTTTTCTGTTTATTACAATACGCGATCGAATATTATCGCATCTTAACCTCGTCGGTTGTCATTGTTGTTTGATGAGCTCAGTTTTGTCCTGACTAAAGCTATTTTATCCCGTTATTTGCTCAGTAAGTAATTTTTCACCATGTGATTTAATTCGGTATTTAGAACAATTGAAAGTCCGCCTAATTTATTTTTCTTTTGTTACTCGTTAGTAGTTGTGTTAAATGATATTTCATGCATTTTTGTTGTTATTGTTTGCATTTTAATAAGATTGTTGTAAAACCTTCATATTAATTTAAAATTATTGTCATGAATAAGTTGTGCATCTCTTTGGTAAGATAGAAAACATTCAAATATATCTAATATTAATATGATTAATTTTTTATTATTTAATTTAATCTTGGTTGTGATATGAAACTATATATTATTAATTACTTTTGAAATATTTAGTAATGTCTATCATATTATTTTGAATTCAACATTTTGTTTTAAATATTTTTATTGCCTGCTACTTAAATTTATTTAGTTAATTACTAGTTGTTTTTTTCTTTTTAAAAAATATTGCTATTAAATTTAAGTAACTTCACAGGCCATATAACAAATCATTTTTCTGACTGTTTTTTGTGGCTTGTTTGGTTTTGGAGTTTAAATTATGGCTTTTGTGAAATTAAATTTAGAAATTCAACATAAATTTTATTTTATTGTGTGATGTATTGTTAGTACTTTTAAAATTTTAGATCCTTTTTTTTAAAAGTGTTAATGTTGAATAAATTGTTTTAGAGTTTGCCTCGTTTTCGAATGTTTTTGTAATTTCAATTATATTGAATAAAATTATAACATAGCATTGGAAACATAGATTACCTCAGTGAGGTTTACTTTCTTTTTGTTTGTTTGGAATTTCCCTTGACTCATGAGTCATATCTAAATTTAACATTACCAAACTACTGTTTGTTAAGAGTAGAAAACAGTTTTGTTGTTATTAGAGCTTGCATATATTATAATATATTAATAATAAATGTTTGTATAGAATAGCATACATTTTACTGTATAGTTTCTGTTAGTTTTATAAAATACTATCCAAAGCATTTTATAATATCCTTACTGCTAGGATTTATGGGATATAAATTTGTTCATGGTTATTTACATGATTTTCTCTTATATCTAAAAGATTTTATTTATTTTTTTCTCAGTTTTATTCAGACAGTTATTAGTATATGAGGAGCAGGGTTTAGGAAAATAACTTTAGGATGAACCTTGTATGTTGAGCATAGGACATTGGGTGTTAGGCTCAACTAGTAAAAAAGCCTATTTTCTGTAAATAATTTAAACAGATATTGCTCGAGCTATTAGCCAGCAGCCGGTGTGTGTATTCGTGTGGCACTATGTTAAAACTAACATTTTCTTTTTTCTCTGATCCTCCGATGCTAGTTACAAATATATATATATATATTGAAACGTGACATCTTGTGAAGCTATGAGACAAAAAATTATTTAATTTAGATAATTAAAAATTGATTCATAGTAAACTAGACAAAATTTCCTTCGAACATAAGTAGTTTGTCTTTGTCAAAACCATTTAAGGGGATTTTGAGCAGCCGAACTACTCTAAATTGTGTTTTTCATTTATTTGGCAGATTATTCAAAGTATTTTTATGATCCTACAATAATACTACAGATACCCAACTTTTATAAAAACTTTCTTGTTTAATAAGCTTTAATGTCATATGAATTTAGTTGAAGTTTGAAGCAGAATAAATTTAAGATTAACCATTATTTGTGTGAAAAATTATGTGATTTGATATCCCTTCACTCCAGAGTATATTTATTTTAAGCAAAAATGAACGATAAATTATTATTTCTTATATATAACGAGAAGTATTAATTTCTTATTTTTTTTTTTGACCTGACATCTATTTTCGTAAATTAATTATGAAAATGCACTTTCTATTCAATAAAAAAAATGTGTTTAAAAAATACTGCTATTTCAAAAATTTATTATCATTTAGAATAGAATAGAAAATTAAACATTATTCTGGGACTAAGTCCCTTTAAAATAACAATGATGAGTTAATACAAAGTAAAGTACAAATCTGGCCAAAAACTAACTTATAAAAATTTTAATATTATATACATTATTTAAAAAGTATGTGACCAGTAAAAAATAAAAAATAAAATATATATACAAATGAACATAAAATCTTCTCAAAATTACTTAATTGTGATGAAAAAAAAAAGGTGATTTAAGGTGATAATGAACCATTGTTAATAACATAGATTTCAATTGTGGGAATTGATCCTTATGATATTAAGTAACTAACTAAATGTTTTTATTCCTAATATTTAAAATTCTAGTGTTTCATTTGTTTATATTTTTAGAAATGTTCCTTTACAATAATAATATATTACTTTCAGTTGCTAATGCAAGCTTCTTTTGGATGAAATATTGAACCATTAGCAAATTCAACCTCAAATAAATTAATATGGAATCAAATCTGTTTAAACAAGAAAGTTTTTATAAATGTGAGGTATCTGTGGTATAGTTGTAGGATGATAAAAAACAACGTGAATAATCCATTATTTAATGAAAAATGCAGCTTAATATTGTTTGGTCGGCCAAAAATCCCATTTAAATGGTTTTGACAAAGACAAACTGTATTCTTATTTGAAGGAAATTTTAACTATTGTACTATGAAACAATTTTTAATTATCTGGATATAATGTTTGTGTTATCGCTTCCTATCCAAGAGAAATATCGACCACCTTAAGAAGAGACAAAATTGGACTTATCTCCTTTTCCATTTGAAATCAGCCCATACATTAAAAGATATTTTATGTTGGAAATTTTGTCTAGAATCAACTCCCCAAGTTTGGTTATTAAGAATTATATGAAAAAAAACAAAATATTAACTTCAACTTGTTGTCACAAAAGTTCACCTACGGATTACCAAATAATTGCAATTCAGTTACACCTTGTCAAATATATCATCAGTGTATTGTTACTAGTCATTAAGTGACATTTTAAAACCTTAAATCACTAGGAACTTTGATAAATTTTCTCTTTGTAAAATCAGGATATTGTGCGCTTGTTGTAATTATATTCGTTATGTAAAAGGGTTTGAGTCTATTTAGTAAACTAACTGTTTTTTATCGATAAATAAGGTAGAAATTTACAAAAACGTTCTTAAAAATTTAATATACTTTTTGTGATGAACCGACGATCCCATCAATGATTTTTAAATACATAAACTAGAAAAATGAGGTTTATTTTTCATTTTTACAATCACTTTTACTATTATGTAAGTTATTTGTTTGATCATTAAAAAAAATTAGGCATATGCGCACTAAAAGTTTCTCCCTTCAGTTTGCTTTTTCCAGTAATTAGCACTTAAATTGAAAACGTGCTCCATAAATGTCGGTGTGGTATCATATTGATGCCATCTCTGCCTTAATTAATGTTTAATTATATAGATTTCGATATCATTTAAACCGAAATTTTTATGTATATGCTATTAAGCATATATGGATTACCATATATATTCAATTACCAGGGTAAATATAAATAAATTTACTATCACCACCTAACATAAATGTGGCTGGATTTATCACTGCCTAATCTAAGTGTGGTCTGCTTTATCAGTGCCTAACCTAAGTGCAGCTTCGAATGATAATATTTTTTCCATTCTATGGATTATAGCAGGAGTTGCCAACCCGGTGTCCATGGTGACCATAGTGCTTATCTAGGAAACACCTATATTGGTGATCACCAAGGCTACCAGTAACTGCATTCCACAAAATTGTTGTTTAACAAGATTTTAAAGTTAAATATAAAATGGATGATTAATTGAAAACATAAATGCGTTTGTTTAAGAACAGTAATTTTTGATATAGCTTTTTAACAATTACTTTTTTTATTAATTATTGTAGGAAGGAAGTTGACTGTTCTACATATCATGGGTAATAAATATTCAGGACGCAGTCATTATAAAGTTTTTATTTTTACCAACGTTTCAACTCAAAACATGTGGGTCATCTTCAGGGCTTGTTATGAGCACTATGATATCTTGAATATCTTCAGTGCTCGAAACACCCCTTGATGATGATCCACACGTTTGAGTTAAAAAGTCTGTGAAAATAAAAAATTTATAATGACTGCGTCCTGAATATTTATCACCTATTACTTTTTTATATGTTAGAATTATTAACAATATCAAACAATGAAACTATAACTGTAGAAAATGGTTGGAGACTTGTGGAAAATTTATTATGTCATTAAATTTATTCTGTGTAAGGTTATTTACTCTTGGTCGATATTTATTTATTATGTTTTATCAGCTGTGAATCGACCTTCATGAGTGGATTCATGCCAGGCAGAAGAGAAAGTTAATTTTTGTATGACAATAGAAATATAGGCCCTGTGATTACAATAGTCTCAAGCCTTATTCAATCAGCTGTCCACTCCCAGAAATAGTCATAAACTTTTTCATAGCATTTCTAAAAGTGTACAAAGTGTTGATATTGGTCATTGATATTCAAAATTATGTTAACTGTACTAAATATTCAAGTGAATAATGTGGAATGAATAGACTTTTCTTTTTCTGTTGCCATTACAGACCTTGTAGATCTTTTGCTGTGCTAACAATCCTACTCCATCTCTGCTTATATTGTGCTATTTCATTCCACTTATCTGCACGCAGCTCTATTTCATCTTTGTTGATTCTATCTATCCATCTGCTTTTTGGCCTTCCACATAGTCTTTTGCCTTCTATCGAGGCATTCATTGTCGTGTAGAGGCTTCCAGATGGAGTACTCAGAGCTACATGCCCTAACCATCTCAACCTTTGTGCCTTCATATCATGATATATTGATTGACCAGTTTCTGTAAGCTGTTCTTTATTGCTCTATCTTCTCCATGTGTTGCTACTCACCCCAGATTGCTCCAGTTATCGTGCGGAGGATTTTGCTCTCAAATATTGCAATACTTTGTTCTAGGATGCTGGTTTAGTATGCAGGTCTCACAGCCAGCAATATATTAAAACTGGTTTTATTGTAATCTTCTTTAACATTATTATTTATTAAAGATAAATATAAGTATTGGAATTAATATTAGTGGTATTAACAGCTGAATTTAAAATTGCACCTTGAAATGCTAAGATTCTGTTTCAAAGAGTTTGTCACTATGAACAACAATTGTTGGTTTATGTTGTGTTACTAGTTTATTATATTTATTTAGCTCTGCTGTTGTTTTCCATGAAATAAACAATACTGGCCACAGAAATACAAATTAATATTCAATATGAAACAAATTAAAAAAGTATTATTTCTTTTGACTTTTTTTTTTTTTTTTTAATCTCTAATAATGGCATATATTCTTGAATTTTCGAATTAAATTTTTTGTTGATAATGAAAATTGCATTTTTTGATGTAAAAATAGGAATAGTTTTCTGTACTGCACTTTTTACAAAATAAAAATAAAATTAGCTTTATTTTTTGTCAAGTTTTGCTTTGAAACTTACCTCTTCAGTATGAGTTTGGGAATTTTAAATTCGTCTGTGTCTAGTTCCATCATGAATCAGTTATCAACTAAACTATTCTTTATCAGGGACATGTTGAGTTTTATGGAATCAATTCCCGTAATGGTTGATAAGAATGTTATGACTCAGTGAAGTAATCGAATCCCGATTCATTAAGATAAAATTGAAACTTTAGAATAGTTTAAAAGATTGTTTTCCTCTGGTTTGTTGCACAATCTTATTCGGTAAGTCAGAATAGTAATTTCCACGATTATATGACAATATCGGTTTTACGAAAATATACTTATATTTTATCATTACGTTTTTTTTTAACTTAAATTTTATTTTTTATTTTAGTTCATTTCCTTAAGAAAATGTATTTATTTTTATTTAATTAATTATTTTGCTTTCTCACTATCGATGGTAGAGGAGCTTTGTATTCACACAGATAAAAAAGATAAAATTCAGAAAATTCCCATCTTTTTGTGTTTTAGGCACCAAGAAACAAAATAAGTTAGTCGGTCTGCAGTCATGTTCCACCTTTTTACGGTCATAAGACCTAGTGTCTTCAACTATATTTGGACAAAATTTTAAGATATTATGCAGTGTGGTACATAGAAGGTTCCATATCAATTTATATAAATTCTATCCACTACTTTTGCTTAGTAGGCTTACTTGTATTTTCCTGGACACGCCTATATTTCAAAAACAGTACTAGTCCGATTTGGCCCATAGTTGGTGGCTAGTCTACAAACAATTCGCTTTAACGATTTATTTTGTCCTTTTGTGTTTGGTAGAAATGTTATTTAGCAGATGTCTCTTATTATAGTGAAACTACATCTGAAAATGAAAAAAAGTATGCACAACCCTTTTAATTGTGTCTTTTATATTATATTTTGAATGGATGGTGTTTGTATTTTATTTCATCTCCGTTTCCACTCTACTTGACCAAACAATTGTACATGTTATTCTCAAGAGTGTAATTATAAAAGTCGTTTATTTCCATTCTGAATCCTAATCACTATTTACAATTTTTTAGGAAATTCAATAATTCAAATTTCCTATTAAAATTCTAATTGTATTATCGGAACCGATATTTAACAAAAAAAAAATTGAGAAATTCTCTATTTGTAACATATGTTTCCGAAAATACCTGATTCTTTTATAGTAATTCAATAGATCCTCTATTGGAAAGAATTGTAATTCAAAGCATGTTTTCGAACAAGAAAAAGGTTGGAGGTTCAGTTTAGATAAAAACAACAAAGGTGTGTGCTAGGAGAGGAGAAAGTTATAAAAAATATTAACCTTTTATTTACATTAATGATACAAAAAAATTAATAATTTTCATTTAAATTAAATATGTTCAAAAAAGGTTTGTTGCATTTTTTTTTTAGTAATAATACTTTAAAAATGCTTAAAGTTTCATTATATTCTTTGGGAGAAAAAAAATGCCCGTTTCGGATATAAATTTATTTTCTCAAAACTTAATTAAATATTCAGCTTTTAATAATTTTAATTTTTGGAAATAAAAAAAAATTACATCATTGAATTCATTGAGTGTTTTTGCATAGGAATTGATAATTATGTTGATTTCCAATAATATCTGCTACTAGAGCTCACTTTGATAAAAGTGACTCGAATAAAAGTTAAGTTACATTTTATCTAATGCTAATGTTATTACAATATTCTTGTTTTTTTAACAAGGGTTTTCTTTTTATTTAGTGCTTTTAACCCCATATTTTTTATTCTAAATCGATTTTGTTAGTTTACTTTTACGTAGGGACACAAATTTTAACTTAAATTTATTTAAATTATCATTATTCATTTATTTGTTTTTTGTGAATTTTACTTTTCAACGAAATGGGAAAAGTTTTCAGACCCTGATGATATCATGCGTATTTTTAATGAGTTGATGGCCGAGGAAAACTCATCCGAATGTGAAATAGATGTTGAAGAGGTAATTGACAATTTAGGATTGTTACTAATGTACGTTAACAGCTTCAATTTACTCTCACATGTCCTATTAAATATTTAAATTTATCATTTAATCTTTATTATTATTATTATTAAAATCTTCTGGTCTGTGGTTAGATAATTATTTATTCTATTATATCAGCTATTGTTGAAAAAAATGTTTAACCTTTTAATGAGTTGAGGAAAAAAAATCTGGTGGTTGAGTTTAATCTTGGACAGATCACCTACCTGAAATAGGTTTAACCCCCCGTGGGTGATATACGTCGATTTTGAAATCGAATTATCTTACGATTCAAGCGGAAAGCTAATGGAAAGTATTTGTGAGCTTTTAATACATCATGAAGTTAATAAATTTAGTAAGAAAACACACCATTTCTGAGAAATTTTGTAGATAAAAAATTCATAGGTTGCGATGAGATGAAGCCGTTCACAAACCTTTAGGCGGATGTTAAAGAGGGGTTTGTACCGGGAACTATATTGTTAATCACACGAAAGGTAATTCTATAAAGCTAAAAACAAAATTCTTTACCAGATCAATATTACTAAAGATATCACAAATAATTTTTGTATTGGTCTTTGCAGCTATTTAATTTATAACTTAATTAATAATAAAGCATAGTTAAATAATTTTGAAGTTTTTTTTTTATATATGGTGGGTGACTTCAAGGAATATATAAGCCCTTGTACTTCCAAATTTTTTTATTCTACTTCCGACGACATTTCAAGCTGATTAACTCATTATCAAGTCATCAAAAAATTTGTTTTCTATTAAAATGTATTTCTACATTAATTATAATTGAACAACATATAACATAATTGAAAAACTATTTGTAGTACACCAAATACCAAAAATAACCATATTTCTTGCATCAATGTTAAACAATAGAGGGAGGAAATAGTACCATACGGGAATGACAAGCATCAATTAAATGCGCAAACAAGGAGACGAGGAATAAGGTTATTTTTGGTATTTGGTGTACTACAAACAGTTGTTCAATTATATGTTACTATGTTGAATTATAATACATTTCAGTAGATAAACAAATTTTTTGATGAATTGATAATGAGCTAATCAGCTCGAAACATCGTACGTAGGAAGTTAAATAAAAAATTTGAAAGTATAAGGGGTTTTGTTTTTCTTGAAGACACCATATATAAGAACATTGAGTGCCCTTGAAAAGTACAACTGTAGTAGCTAAAGATTGCTGTTTTTTCTTAATCATGATGATTTAGGAATGAAGGTAAATCAGAGGATGGATAATTGAGGTTCCAGGCTACTCTTCAAAAGTGGACATTTACGTGTGGCGATAGCTCGAAAGTAGAACTGTCCTGTAGTAAATGGGATGAGGATAGTCATGTTAATAATGCAAGACATTAATTTTAAATAATTACAATAGTATAGACTAGTGTTCGGTTTGACTTGTTCTTTATTCGTTTAGTCTTCATAATTGTCATTATATTGATAATTTTTTTTTCATATTGTGGCGAAAGATTTTTATTACATTTTACTATCTTTTTTTGGGGGGAAGGAGATTAAGAAATTTTATTTAAGGCAGAAAAAAGTCAGAAACTCTTGTTCCTTGTTTTTACATTTGAAAAAAAAAAATAGATTTGATTCGTGGTTTTTCTTTGTATATTTCTAATTTATTTTGTTTCATTTCTTTTGTTTGCAGAAGCATATGGAAGGAGAAGGGCGGATGGGGCCCTCGCCGACCGATGAGGACTCGGCCTACGATTCACCAAAATCCACTGAAAACTCACTCTCACCCACAACACCCCCAAAGTCCTCAAACAGCAGGTTGATAAGCTTGGCCTGCGGGCAGTGCGGGAGAACGCTGCGTGACCCGAGGTGCCTGCCGTGCCTCCACTCGTTCTGCCTTCACTGCCTCCAGGTGAAGAACAAGAAAGTTATCTGTCCCGAGTGCCGCCTCGAAACACCGCTACCCAGCAATGGTCTATCTGGTCTTCTTCCGGATTATGGGATCATCAATTTCCTTCGATCGTTGAAATTGGGAGCGTTCTGCACTAGTTGCAAGAGCGAAACATTGCATGCTGTCGCTAAATGTATCAACTGTGACTCCCTACTATGTTCCAATTGCTTGATGGCTCACAGTTTCATGCACTGCTTCTCTGGCCATCGAGTAATCGAGTTTCCTAAATGTCCAGAACTGGGTGAAGGCCCAAAAGATGACACTGTTATGTACTGTTTGATTCATCCCACCGAAGTAGTCAAATATTTCTGTTATCCATGCAGCGAGCTCATGTGCCAGCTTTGCTCTGATGAGAGCCACTATGAATCCAATCATATTATGGAGGAGTTGCATTTGATCGGCAGTGGGGTCATCAGCCTGATGGCGGACAAGGTGGCGGAAGGGAAGTGCCAGGCCGAAGACTTCGCTGTCTGCATCAGGTACAACCAGCAGACGTTGTTTTTTCTCCAGAGCCAATACCATGATATCCATAACAAGATCAATCAGATTTATGAGCAGCATTCCGCTCTGCTTGCCAAGTACAAGGAACAGCAGCTCACTCTGTTGGACGGAGTCTATGAACGTATGATCTCAGCATTGAGGATGAGCACCAAAGTATCTGAAGAATCTTATGATCGCTTGACCCACCTAACCGACTTCTTCTCGCGTCTCATCAAGTACGGGAACACTCCTCAATGCCTCATGTACAAAAAAATCCTCGAAACTGAGCTTGCCAATTTGTCAGCAATCAAAGCGAAACCTGTCTCATGTAATCTCAGATTGGAATCAGAAGGTGGTTCAGATTATGCATCTACGCTCATTAGAACATTTGGGAGAGTCATTTATGAGCTGAATGGTATTAATAATGAAAATTATTTTGTCAATGATTGTTGGTCAAAGGTTGATCAACCTGTGTTCCCGTTTAAGTATGAAAAGTGGTCCAATTCCTGCTTTGACGAATTAAAAGCCATTTCAGATCTGAATATTTGTGATAGTAACCAGTCGTTGCGCTCTTTTCATTTGAAGTCGAACGTGACTCGTATGACTATTACCTACAATTGGAAATTTGGTTCTTACGGATCGATGCAAGGACAGTTCACCGAGCCGAACGGTGTCTGTATCAATTCGGAAGGGGATATAATAGTAGCCGATACTAACAACAATAGAGTTCAGGTTTTCGACCGATCCGGAAAGTTCAAATTCAGTTTTGGAGATGGGAACAACTGCAGTGACGGTGGCGCCCTCTTGTTTCCGAATAGAGTTGCCGTGATGGAGAAAAGTGGTGATATTGTTGTTACGGAACGAGCTCCTACTCATCAGGTGCAGGTTTACAATCAGTATGGGCAATTCATTCGTAAGTTTGGTGCAAACGTGCTACAGCACCCTCGAGCAGTAGCCGTAGACAAGGATGGCCATATAATTGTTGTTGAATGCAAAGTGATGAGAGTGATCATATTCGATATGATGGGCAACATAAAGCACAAATTTACTTGTAACGACACCCTTCACTTTCCCAACGGTGTCGCTGTCAATGACAAACAGGAAATATTCATATCAGACAATCGTACTCATTGCGTTGTCGTTTACAATTATCACGGTAAGCAGTTGAGGACGATCGGGCACGAAGGCCTAACTAACTACCCGATCGGAGTGATGCTGAACAAAGCTGGCCATGTAATCGTCGCTGATAACCATAACAATTTCAACTTGACGGTGTTCACTCAGGAAGGGCAGTTCTTGACGGCCGTGGAGAGCAAGGTGAAGCACGCCCAGTGCTACGACGCAGCCATATCATCCGACGGTACTGTTGCACTAACGTCAAAGGATTACCGTGTCTATGTTTATCTCACTTCGTTTTGAACAGATTATCTCTACTGACTGATTCTCGCTTTAATCCTTTTACACTTTATAATCATTTATTTTTTTTCTAATTATTTTTTTTTTATTTTTTAATTCTGAAATTTTTAATTGAACAAAAATGAAACAAATCAACCACAAAAAAAAAATTCGGAGCGTATGAAAGCACTCTGATATTCTTGGTCCAACTAGTTGAAACTGATTTGTATTATATTTTCCTAGGCGGAGAGCTGACAGACAATGTATAATCGATTAAGATATATATTTTTTTAAAAGACTTGTTTTGTTTTAAAAAGGAAGACTGAAGGTAAACTAATTGACTGCATTGATCTAGTTTTTGCTAATTTTGTGAAGGTTCCTTTTTTTTTTTTATGTTAGTAAATTAAAAAATCAATAAAAAAAAAGTATTGGTTAAGCTTATTATTATTGTAATGTTTTTTTTTCTTTGTTCCAGTTATTACCAAGTTGTTATATCAAAATGTTAGTTTTTGTTGTGTTTTTTTTTTCATTTTTTTTTTTTACGTGCCATGCTGCTAGTCAGGCGAGTTGTATATAAATCTTCTCGATAATCTTAGTCCTTCTTTGCCATAGCTATTAGTTTTGTTTTTCATTTAAAAAAAAAGAAAATAAGAAAAAAATAATTTTTGTTTCTATAGTTAATAAGACATGTATTACGTAAGTGTTCTGTACTTTGAAACAAAATGTTTCGTTTTCATGGTACTAGAAAGTCCGCTACAAAGTTAAGGAGTATATTGTTTTTGTTTTCTGTTGTGTATTGCTTATTGATGTTGAATACTTAAATATAATATCATTATTATTATTATTATTATTACTATTAATTATATTAAATGTTTTATTTACTTTTTTTGTTTTTATTGTGATATTGAAAGTATTATTTTTTTGCAGTGATGTAATTGTTTATCTCGACCAATTTTCAAGTTGTTATTATGACTCTTAGAGGATTTATTCTTGTAGTTTTGTAGTTGCAAGATGGAATCAATTATTTAAATTAAAAATTTAGAAAAAAAAAAGAAAGAAAAATAAAACCAAAAAAAAAAAAGTTTATCAAGCTTATGAAAAGTGGACTATTTTTAATAAACTTAATTAAAATTTTATGTTTACTATTGACAAAGGATGTCTTCTGTTGTAACAGAATTTCCTGAGATTTGAGATTTATTTTGCTTGCATTTTCCACTTTTCATTAGAGACTCTCTTGTTGTGTCCTGTCCCCCCTTTTTAGGATTAAGGAATTGCCAATTATTACTCTTGATATAGATTTCCTGTTATTTGTTAAATCAAGTTTTTCTACTGTATTGTTAAATTTGAAAAAAAAAATAAAAAAAAGTTAATAAAATAACTACTTGTTATTAAAATAAGATTGTATTTTGTTTCTACATTTTATATGATGTTAATAAAATCTCTTACCCTTAATTTATTTATATCTTTTTTTTATGTATATATATTTCTTTTTTTATATCCTTTAATTTCTTCCTATTTTTTTTCAACAACAATATTGACAGTTTGTTGCGATTAGCCACTAAGTAGACAGTCCTAATTTCGCAGAAGGAAAAATGATTTAACTTGAAATGTTAATGACTTTTTTCCCAATATACCGATGATATTTGATTACTCAATTCTGTGCCCTGTAGGTAAATGACTCAATCTCCATTTTTTTTTTTTTTTTTTTTTAAACTAGTGGTTCACCTCTGTCCACTGTTAGGCGGATTAGCTCCCATTTTACAAATTATACAACTGTTCATTTAATTGTAAACAGTTGTCTGATAAATAATAAGATGACATTAGAGATATAGTGGTTGACAGTGTAGTTAAAATATCCAGTATTATATATATATATACATATAGAGAAGATACAAACAAAAATAGAAAAAGGAGAATATAGCGTGTAAGTTACAAGTAAAAAGTATTTTGTAGCCCTGCAAGGTGGGTTGAAACAATTAAAAATTTAGTATTTATTTGACCACCCTCCCCCCCCCCCCTGACCAACTCCTCGGTATTATTTTTTGTCCACCTAAAATAAACTGAACGAAGTTTGGACATATTTAATTTCTTTGAAATCTATATTGTACATTGCCTAACTGCCAATTTGTAATCATAATATATATTCATCTGGTCCAGGTTCATATACGCCCTACATCAATTTTAACCTTTGATTGAACATTATATTATGCTTTCTTTTCTATTTCATAATTTTTTTTTTTTTTTTCTGTTCGTATTGTTTTGGGCTAAAAACTTATTTATAAAACAGAGAGATAATTTGATAACTAAGAAACAAATTTTAATAGCTCAAAGTTATGGCACATTGGCTTCCCTGAACTGAAACGAAAATGACTAGTGTTCTTACCTTTGGGGCACAGAATTGTTAAAAACGAAAAAAAAAATCCAGTTCACACTACTTTAAAGAAAAATTGTCTGGCAAAATTTGGCCATTACAGTTTTTGAAATTCATTTTTAATAGAGATGAACTTTAAAGAATACATTTGAGAATTTTGATTATTTGCTTCTCGTCCTATTGTCTAAGATCGATGTGTAAAAAATATTTTGGTCTTATTTATCAATGCAAAAACTCGTTTAGACCATAAAAATAAAACATACCCTATTTATTATATCGACGGTAGTTATTAAAAACCTCGTAACTTCATCAGTCTATTTGAACAACATAACTCTCCTTGGAGCTCTATATAGAAAGAGATGTGATAAAATCATGTAATAAAAATTATAGGAATTAAATCCATGTAAATACTTAAACTTTTTAATCCTATAAGTATTTCATATTGAATATTTAATAGTTGACCGTTGCATTATAAAGGAAGGAGATGGTCTGGGGTTGCGGTCATAAATAGGCTAAATAGTGGTAAAACTATTGAAAGCCGACTTTGCAGGTCTTCTTCAGGGCTAGAACGGACAAGATGCAAAAAGATAGAGAATTGTGGTAGTTATATAATATTTAGACATAATTTATAAACAATGTGAATAAGCTTATTAAAATTATAAACAGTAAGTACAATAAAATATAAACAAAGTAAGCTGAGTAACACGATCCTAAATCTATTTACAATTAGCTTCTATTTACTTCAGTTTAGGATCTTGTTACTCAGCTTACTTTGTTCATATTTTATTGTACTTACTGTTTATAATTTTAATAAGCATATTCACATTGTTTATAAATTATGTCTGAATATTATATAACTACCACAATTCTCTATCTTTTTATATCTTGTCCGTTCTAGCCCTGAATAAGACCTTCAAAGTCGGGTCGAATAAAATCGGCTTTCAATAAAATGGTTTTACCACTATTTAGCCTATTTATGACCGCAACTCTGGACCATCTTCTTCCTTTATAAGTATTTCAGTTTTTTTCACTACATCAGATAGGTCCAAAGTTTCCTTACTAATTGTAAGTGGATAATGTGATTTCACAGAGAAAAAAAATCAACAAATTATTTACTAATTTAATTTTTTAAAGATTAAAAATATTATGGAATCTACAATTTTTAAACTTCGGTGAAAGTACTTAAGGTTATAAAAATATGTTTTCTTTATACACAAAATATTTTAATATTCCACTTCTTCTTTAACAATAAAATAGTTTTACAATAATTTCATTACCTCGATTCGGTGAACATAGTGTCTTCGATTCCCACCTGGGTTGGTAGATTTTCATTTCTTGACAGCCCCAGGAAACACTAGTGGATCCAGGATTTAATTTTGGGAGGGCTTTAGCCCGAAAGATTTTTTTTTCATAAATATTCATAAAAATAATTGGAAAAAAAAAGAAAGAAACTAACTACCTATATGAAATGGTGTTTAAGTGGTTCCTGAAGTCCTATTAAATGTAATTAAACAAACAAGAATACTTTAAGAGATAGTTTTTAATATTTTTTTCTGTAAAACATGGTTATATTTTACCATTGGGCTTCAGCCGAAATCCTCCCCCCCTGTAGATCCGCCTGTGCCAGGAAATGAATCTTGACATTCTCACTCTGGTAAGTATGCGACAGCAACCTCATGGTAGTCAGGTTTGGGCAAAAGGGACCACATAGATCACTTGCTGGACTAGTACCAGTATCAATATATTAGAATTAAGTTTTTATTTACTCGATACTAAGAAGGGATGTAACAAAACATAGGATCACCAATTTCCTTAACTATTTGACCTGATTGCATCACTTTTCTCATCTATTACCAATAGTAATGAAAAATACTAAACTATTTTAAAGTTTATAAAATCCAAAAAGACGTTTATTTTTAATAATGAACCTTTCCTATCAACAAAGAAAAATATTTCAAACTTTCTTAAAAACTATTGTATTTAGTTACTTCCATACCACTATTTCCTACCTGTCCAATATACCATGTGAATTATTTTCAGGAACAAACTATTGTTACAATGTGAAAAGGAGTTGAGCGGAGGGGTGCGGTCAAATTAATAATGAATTAAACAATTAGAATTATTTAATTTTTGCCGACGTTTCGACCCACTTTGCAGGTCTTCATCAGGGCTACAAAAGATACATAACATGGTGAAAATAAAATAAATGAATATAAGTAGATATAAAATAAAATAGTAATAAGTTGTCTGGTACAGAAATAAAAAGATGGATATCTAAGATATAGTGGGTGACAATGTAGTTAAAATATCAAGTATTATATGTAGAAGATAAAAACAAAAATGGAAAATAAGTATGAATAAAAATTAAAATAAAGGAGAATATAGCATGTAAGTTGAAGTAAACAGATTGTGATAAAAGATAAGGAATGATTTTATAACAAACTAATAAAGATTACATGATAACTGTAGGTTAACATATAAAAAAAATGAATGTTAACGAATAGATTGTAGATTGAATAAGTATTGATAAAGTAAAGCTTAAATATTTTAACTACATTGTCACCCACTATATCTTAGATATCATCTTTTTATTTCTGTATCAGACAACTTATTCTTATTTTATTTTATATCTACTTATATTCATTTATTTTATTTTCACCATGTTATGTATCTTTTGTAGCCCTGATGAAGACCTGCAAAGTGGGTCGAAACGTTGGCAAAAATTAAATAATCCTAATTGTTTAATTTATTATTAATTTGACTGCACCCCCCAATCAATTCCTTCTCATACTATATCAACGGTCAACCATCTCTACATCATTATTGTTATAAATGTTAAATTCTGAACACGACAATGAAATATAGTACACACGGTATGTAATGAGTTCAATAATATTTTTAGGTTCAATAAAATGTTCACAACATGAAACTTCATCCTAAGTTTTCTTTAATGTAAATTTTAATTAGAATTTTTTAAATCCTGCCTAGATTAGTAGGATTTCTGTAAAATCGTTGTCAAGATCAGTAGGACTCTACTGTATATTATAATAAACATCCTCTGGACATTATCTATTTACTGTGCCTAAATGCTTAGTAGGTAATAAATGAATCACCACAGTGTAAATGCACCAATAGCTGACATATTTAAGGAAATTTAATTGAACTGTTACTTGTAAAAACTTAAATATTGTTATTATATTTTTCTTGGATTCATCTTTTAGAACTATTTCTTGCCTTATCAAGACATATTTCAAATCCATTAAAATTTTATCTAAATTTAAAAAAAAAAATGAAAATTAAGAGAATAGTTTTGTTGTAGCAGGAGCTGACACTATTGGATTAGAAATGTTCCTATTAGATATTAGAAAAAGGTTGTAATTAAGGGAAATTTCATATTCTTCATTTTAAGATTAACAAATATTACCTTTAACTTATTATAAAACTAACTTCTTGCGTTTTCTGACTTGAATTTTTCAATAAACGCTGGTTTCTGTCAAGAACTTGTTTTTGGCTGTAGAAAACCTATTTTAACTTTATATTTAATACAAATCATTAGCAATTTTCTTTAACAAGATAGTAGTATATAGTAAATTTTGGTAATAGTTTAGATGATGCCCGCATCATTTAATTTTAAATAAAGACTTTGATAAAATAAAAACACTAGTAAATTTTTAAGACCTATTATATTGAGTATGCCTCTCTTTGAATTTATGAGAGTACAGGCCTGCCAACTACTATCAAAAGTTCCCAGTGGCTGACATCCAATAAATGTTCAATTCTTTTATCAAGATCAGTTAAAAATAGATAAAACATAATTTAAAAAACTTCGTAAATAGTTTTATCTCATCTTAACCTAAAACTATTTTATTTATGAAAACTCTTGAAATTGGGGCGTTTTCAATCTGGAGGGAGGGGGGCGATTGTATCTATTTAATTAGGTACTAAAAACTCGTAAATACCCATTCATTTGCTTTCTACTTGGATCGTAAGATAATTTGATTACAAAATCGACAAAAACAAGTTGGCCTATAAAAATATTGGGCTGTTTGTCCTATATAACCTCATTATTTTTAAAATTT